GCCATCACCGCCTCGGGAGAGTCTCTCCCCGCCAAACACGCGATGATAAGAATTTCCGATACAGCTAATTGATCCTCCCCTCATCTTCCGCAATCTTCAATTTGATTCCCCGCACAACTGTGCTGCGCTCGGCCGGGCAGCAAACGACCTTGTCTGGTCATTGCCTTGACCTCTGTCCCTGTCTACTAGATCTTATCTCACGTTGTTACCGTCGGGCTTTTGATTCAGAATGTCGGCCACCAACGACGCCGTGTTTCATCGGCGGAATAAGCAAATCCAGGACGCCATTGATGGGCAGAACTTGAAGCAAGCTCTCCAACTCATTGAGAAACGCATGAAAAAGGGAGAGGACTCGAGATTTCTCAAGGTAAATTATCCACTACCGCTCTTGAGTTTTATCAAGCCTTCAGTGCTCCGTTTCATTATTTCGGCTGCTTCCCAGCCATGTGACAGAACACTTTCTTGAGTTATTACCCATGAATGAATGCTAATTTCTGTTCGTGCCTAATAGGCGTGGAAAGCAGAGATCCTATACCGCCATGCGGACGACGCCCATCGCCAGCGCGGCCTCGCCGAAACGCTGGAGTTGTGCAAGCTAGAGCCGCCAACAACAGATTTAGACACACTCGAAATCCTGCAGGAGACACTACAAAAGATAGGTGGTCAGGAGGATACCATGAGAAGCTTGTGGGAAAAGGCTGCCAAGGCAAAGCCGCAGGACTTAGAAGTTCAGTTGAGGTGGTTTTCATATGCATTCGAAGGAGACGACTGGAAATCAGCGCAAAAGGTCAGTGCTGTACTTTAACGGAATCACACGCATCTCCATGGCCGAGATTTATTCGGGTCTAACTGCTCTTCGCAGGCGGCTATGAGCCTTCAGAGCAACTTCCCCAAGACACGGAAATACTATTTCTGGGCCATTTTCCTCAGTTACCTTGTTGCCGTGGACAAGAACAGCTCGGAGGCCGAACGGAAGCTCTTTGGGACTCTGGCTTATCGTATGGCCTCCAAAGCTGCAGATAGCGTCCCTGCTGATTCAGTACGTTCAACCTTTCCCTTTTCTCTCCGTATTCGGGCGGCTCCCACGCTGTGTATCTTTGCGGCTTGATGATGATTCTTATACCCATTACAACAGAAAGAGTTGCTGAGCACTCCCAGAGCCATACAAAATGCCGAGGAGCTTTTACTACTCATCAAGATCTGCGAATCTCAAGGGCGTCACTCCGAGGTTGTGAAGCTCCTTGATAGCCAGAACTTGGGCCTGAGCTCACGAATTGTCCAAAATGATTGGCCTTTTGTTGGAGAAAAGCTCTCTGGCTTGGAGAAGGCCGGGATGTGGGCTGAAGGTCTCTCCTACGCTAAGGACCTTCTGGCAATTCCGACTACTGAATCAGAGGAGAAGACTCTCCAAGAGCGCGACGACTGGGCCGTCTGGAGCTTGCTTGTTCATTCGGTTCAGAATATCAAGAACACAGAGTAAGTCGACATTTGGAGAAGAGACTTCTGATAAGCTAATGACTGTTATAGAACTACTGCCGAGATCAGGAAATTTATCGATGAGTTCATCGAGGCTGTTCCCAGATCACGAAACGCCCAATTGGCACGCCTTGACTTGATTCATTGGAGTTTCAAGTCCGGCAGCCTAAAGAGCGATGAATTGATCACCGCCTGCCAGGAATACTTTGATCGAAATAAGACCAAACTGTATTGCTTCGTAGACCTTCGGAAATACCTGTCTGATTTGGATAAGGGACCTCTAACGGAGTTCATTGAATATGTGTCTCGAACCGAAGTAATTGAAGGCAATGTATGTCCCATTATGATTGCGATCTATGTCCTTGTCTACTAACTCTCTAGATGAAGGAAAACGATCCGTTCAAGGACGTCCCGGCGATCAATGCTCTGAAACTCGAGTACTGCTTCCTGCTTTCGGCAGACGAGGCCAATGCCACACAACCAAAAGTCGAAGAGTTTGTTTCACGTTGCCTTCAGATCTTCCGCGGTGCAAAACGCCCTGAGCGTACCGCAGCCGGCTCGACCATCGAGAGTCAGCCTAGTGATGACCTTTGCTTGCTCGCTGCTATGAGTCTAATTCGATTCAGTGGAGGCTGGATCAATGATAAGCCGGACCGGATACCCGACACCAGTTTGATTCGCGCAGCGGGTATTCTCGAGCGTCTCTTGCTTGATTCTCCTCATAATTACAACGCGCTGTTGCTGCTCGTTCGGATATATCTTCGCTTGGGCGCGGGATCCCTGGCTCTTAGGACATTCAGCAAACTAGCTGTCAAGCAGCTGCAGTATGAAACAGTAGCGCACAATCTCTTTACGCGGCTAGCAACTATCCACCCCAGTTCGGCACCGCCAGTTGAAGGTGCGGAGTACAAGGATTTCCACCCGCAATCTGCGTTTGTACAAGCCCTCAACTTCTACCGGACTGCGGACGTCACGACAGTTAGGAACAGGACGAACGGGTTGGAATACGGCAGTTATGTGAACGTCGAAGGAACCATTGACCTTCAGAGACGGCTCAAGCACAGTGTCTGCCGTAAAATGTGGGCATTAGATGTGAAGCGGATACAGCGGTTAGCTGGGGGCGACAATATGGGCCGGTACAGTGATTTGGGTGAGTCCTTTTCATTTTCCAGCGGAATATGTGAAGCTAATGCTAACCTAACGGCTACTTCAGCAAGAGAGACATCTCCCATGGTAGACCAACGTGTTTTTGATGCATTTATGAACTGTGAATCACTGGGCCAGCCTACTTTTGAGGAGCGAGTCCGCTTGGGGCCTCTGCCTAAGGTGAGTCTTCTTGTCTCTTCATAGAACGTGGCTGATGTTATCCAGGAACGTTGGGTAAAATCGGCTCAGTTGACAGATCAACTGTTCGACCTCTTGAAGAACCTTGCTGCTCAGAAACCGGTGTCTTCGGATTTTGATGTGCCTAGCCTGGATGATCTTCTGAGTTCAGACGCCGAGTCTGAGATGACCGTTCCTGAAATAGAGAGCGTCAAGCTACATCTGAACCTCCTCAAAGTCGCAAAGCTTCTCAGCGGATCAAAATCAGTTGATTTAGAAGAGGTTGATGCCTGCTTATCGCAGGTGGACCAGTGGCTCGAGTTCACTTCGAAGGACTTTGCCTTGGACAGCGCGAAACTCTCCCCTGTTATGTCGAGAACTGCAGTGTTCCTGAAACCGGAAACACCCTCGGCCCCATCATGGGAATATCTACATATCGCTTTCCTCGTACTCGAGTCGCTCAAGGCGTTGTCCTTTATATATACCATCGCATCAAAGAAGGGTTCCAAGACAGCAAAGCTTCCCAAGGACCGTGTCGAAAAATTGGCCGGCCTGATCGGGGAAGCGTATGAGAGCGCGAGAGCAAATATTCGTGCTCTCAAGTCGCGAATCTCCGAGCCAGGCATGCTTGGCTCCCTGGTCGACCTAGTTCTGGCTGGTGGTCAGCAACTTCGGACCGAGCTCGAGAAGACGCTTGACATGCCAGCACTGGAACTGCTCTGTGGTGAGCTGATGGAAAGCTGGGAGGAAAGCCTGGATGGAGCGCTCTCTGTGAAGCTGTGATGATTTGACGGTGATCTAGAGGCGAGAATTCGAACCGGATATATGGATATATGTGTATATACCGATTCTATACAGATAAAAATACCTGGCTTCATAGAATTCAAATGAACTAATCACACTGTCATGGATGATGAAGCACAAACACGTGTGGTAGGCTTTAACGGTTAGCAGTGATACAATGCCTCTTCAGTTCAACGGTCTCTTCATGACTGCTAGCACGTGCATCAGACAATTAAACCATGACCGCTGTGCCACCGATATAGCATCCCACCGTCCTACACTCCAGGCCAGACGTTCTCATCGAGCAACGACAGCAGTTGTGCTAGTACGCATAGGGCTTCAAACTGACGCTGAGCGAGATAATCCCAGACTCATCCAAAAACCGCATTCTCGAATCTCATCGGCATGTCCATCTGCACCATGATGCTAATCCCTTACATTCCTGCATATTTATAGCCTAGAAGTATGATACGCGAGTCATCTCTCCTCCACCAGTTCCGAATCCACTCAGAATATGGGCCAGTAACACAAGGGCCACCTCTACTGCCGCAATGAGGGTTACACAGCCGGTTCAGCTCCTTACTCTAACCCATGTCCTTCCACCAAATACGAGACTGAACTAGGATAATGGGATCCTTCACCAGTCTCCACGCGTAGATCAAGGCTTGTATATTGATCCGCTCCATGTCCGTGTCACGGGGTTTCTAATTCTGTTGTACCAGGCATTCTTTCTTTGTCATGTGTGAAAGCGAAGCCGTAAGCTTATGGACCATAAGCGTGTATGTAGGTAATCGCACCGCAAGGGTGACTTGACCGTCCTTTTGGCTGCCATGGGCGCAGGCTGGATGCTACATCAGCAGCTGTTGGTGTTCAGTGACGCTGCGACGGATGATTTGCTGCTGCGGATTACAAGGCTCTTGGTGTTTGTTCTCTTCTGGATCTGGACTTGCACCGGCGGACTTGAAAATGCCCCCGATGGACGCTCCATCTACTCTGTAGAATTGCTGATGCCCTTGTGTTTGATCTCGCATACAGTTTATCGACACTGTCCTCGACGCTGGAATTGCTCCTACAAAGAAACCTATCTAACAGGGCCTCATGACTGTTCCTGAGGGCATGCAGGCCTCTGCAAGCGAGGTTCATAGATATGACTACCGAGACTCAGTGCGCTACTGGAACGTCGTCACGCAAGCGACATGCCTTGCTATAAGTACGGTTCTTGTCTGGATGCGGATGTATTCGAAATTACTTATCACTAAAGCACCGGGATGGGAAGACTGTATGTGAAATCCCAGCATGACGATCATATCCGTAATTGGGTCATTAAGCGCTGAGACACTTGCTCCATAGTCTGCTGCGTTCTAGCCTGGGTATGGCTCACTTTATGACTTCGATAATGAGTTGCTCATAAACACCAGATGGGACTGGTAGCATACGTCGTGATCACATTCGAGGCTGACAAATGCGGTAATGGCATCCATATATGGGAAGTGGATGAATCTGATCTGCGAAAATATAGCAAGGTATGAGCGTCTTGCACGCGGGTTTAGCAGGTTCGCTGATGAGGTTCAGTGGGCAAATACCTCGCAGATAATCTATGGACCTCTGATCTTCATCACCAAACTATCACTCCTTCTGCTTTACTTACGTGTATTTGCTCCCTCCTTCAGAAGCAAGACCTTTTTCTGCATCCACGCTCTTATCTGGCTCAACTTGGGGTTCTACTTTGCAGATACGATCGTGAAGATCTTCGAATGCTCGCCTCGAGCGAAGATCTGGGATAAGACCCTCAAAGGGCACTGCATCAATATCAATATCCCCATCATTGTGACTTCCTCCATCAATGTTGCGTCAGACTTCCTGATACTGGTTCTGCCTATTGTGAGTGTGTGGCGCTTGCAAATGAGAAAGTCCAAGAAATGGGGCACATCCGCGATCTTCGCTGCTGGAATCTTGTGAGAATCGCCCATTGTTATTCGGTGACCTTGATTATCTTCTCGGACTGACCAAGATAATTGCACATAGCGCTTGCATGTGTAGTATCATGCGCCTTGTGGTCAGTGTACGGAACAAAACCGTCAAGGACAAGACCTATGACTGGTTTCCCCAGTTTTTATGGACGTAAGGCAATTTCCTCGCGTGGGTCATTGTGTCTTTGATTTATGATCAAATTGCTGACACAGTGTTGCCTTTATTCTCTGATGAAGTTCCGCCGAGGTCACCTCCGGGATCATAGCCAGTTGTATGCCGGCTTTACCAACCTTCTTCAGACACTTCTTCAAGCGAGCACGCGCCCTGATCTCAAGGGCAAGCACCAGCTATGCGTCCCGCCCGGCGAAGAAAGCGATAGAAGTAATCAGTTGGCCCGCCAGCCGCTCCGTACGTCAAAAGACACAGTCGAGCGGGGGCCTTAGCATGACCGAGCTCTGCCGGAGCACTAACTGCGAACTGGATGATATTGAGCAACATCCTGAGGAGCACACAAGATGTATCTTCTCAGGGGCGAGTTACATGACTGCCGGTGCTCAAGTGGGTATACTTGAACTTCCAAAAGTGGCGTCGGACAGTAATACATTCGAAAGTCGAGGCGCTGGACATGGGTCAGATTATCGTTCGGGGATTCTAAAAACAGTTGAGGTGGATGTTGCGTCCCAGCGAGGATGAGACGCCTTAAATTCACGCAATATCTTTTCACTTTCAAGATTATAGGTGCGTCAACTTTTAGTAGAAGTCGAATACATCATGCATACAGAAGGGCAGATGTAGAAGCATACCTTCCCGAAAGGGTAAAGCACAGGCTTTTGTCCTTGTTTTGGTAATGCGCCATGCGGGCGGCAAGCTCAGCCACCCTAGCCCTAAGCCCTAACCGCTCGCCTACGCACCAACGCGGGCGACCAACCAAAACTTTGCAAACTCCATCGCGATTCTATCCGCACCGACGACCGTCGACTCGACAATCTCCTTCCAGCAACCACCGTCGTCGCCAAACCCCAGTCACAACCGTCGAGATGGCGCAGGAACGTTCCGGAATCGTGGTCGGTCTGAACAAGGGCCACGTACGTTGAATCCCTCTCCCGTTTTCCTAAGAAAAAGAATGTTTCCGGTCGGTATTTGTCCAGTCGATCTCGAGAGATTTGGATTGAGGATACGGAACATAATATGGGGGGAACATATTGTCGGATTGTCAAAGGCACAGTTCTTTTCTTAAGGTGGAGGAAATAGACCGACAACGGACGTACCAATCGAACTTATTGGGCCCGACTTGACAAAAATCGATCGGAAGCATTCGACTTTGGTTATAGAAATGAGGAACAATCAGTGAAGCTGACCTTATTTCTCGTCATAGAAAACCACCCCTCTCAACACCCCCAAGACCCGGATCAGCCGCACCAAGGGCCAGTCTTCCCGCCGCACTGCCTTCGTCCGTGACATCGCCCGCGAGGTTGTCGGTCTTGCCCCCTATGAGCGTCGTATCATCGAACTCCTGAGAAACACTCAGGACAAGAGAGCTCGTAAGCTCGCCAAGAAGAGGGTATGTCACGAGTTCTGGATATTGGTCTTGATGGGTGTTCCTTTCGCTCGCTTCCCTGGGAATTTCATGATTGCGGTGTCTGCGGTTCGGAGTATAATCTGATGAGGCATACGGCAATTGTTGGTTGGACACTACGCCCGCCACGAACCTGTCCCTTCAATTACGGAGACCACCGACCAACGGCTTGTGGAGCGAGCTGGGGAACACTTGCCGAGAACTTTACCAATCGTTCATGGACAATGCTAACGAATCATCTGTTATAGCTCGGTACCTTCACCCGTGGCAAGAGAAAGGTTGAGGACATGCAGAGAGTCATCGCCGAGTCCAGACGTGTGGCTGGTCACTAAATTCGTTTTTCCTTCCTCTGAAAATGTGTTTATTATCGCCAGAGAACGAGATAACGAAATTTAAGTGAAATCGTTTCGGTTGCTGAGTTGGCGCATGGAACCAGGAATTGTTGTCCGTAATATCCAATTCGTCAAAAAGGCACAATGGAAGGGACAGAATCATGATGCAATAAGCATGGACTAAATACCAAAATGGATCTCTTGAATCTAATGCAACTGGGAGTTTTTGGGGCTGGTCTTACGGCCTCGGTGACTTTGAACCTAACGCTACATTTATTCTATCGAAACACTTTCTCTGTTCGGTCCACCTATCACGCGGATACAATTCTTTGCCAATACTCCTGTGTCCCATATCTCTTGCAGCGAATGCCTTGCGGAGGTCCGTAAAACCCTTATCTTCTACCGTCATCATATATTTCATGGCATCAAGCCGACGGCCAACGTCGAGTATATTTCGAGCATGCCCGTAGATAAATCATAGTCATTGATCATTCTAACATACACAATGTGATTTCACGCTAATAACGCAATGCTATTGCGGATTCTCATTTCTTTCCCGGCAGTTTCAACCACTTGGGTATCCCGCCAGGTTTGCGTCCTCCAGATTTCTCTCCATCGCGGTCGCCGGGTCCGCTCACCTTCGGTGGGACAGTATCTCGCGAATTATCCATCAACTCTGGCGGCTGTTCAACCTTGATCTCCTGAGCTTGGTTCCGGAGCTCAGGCTTCAGAAGATTTGCTCTGCTTGATCGAGTGGCGGGAGACGCACTTGCGTCCCAAGAGAAGGTGACGAGGACTCGACCAATCATGCCAAGATCCTTGATCAAGGACGTCTGATCTGTATCAGGAATGATACCCTGAATCTTTTTCGCACCTGAACCCGGGCGCCCAGCAAGGAAGGACGTGAGTATGAATCTCTCGCCGGCAAATTGCTCCGTCAAACAACTTCTTACGAAGCCATAGAGCGTTGCGCCGGTGTCTTGTTGCCCGAACTTCGAGACAATCTGGCTCTGGTCCGGAAGGCGAACCTTGACATCGACTTCTCTGATCGCTGCACGCTTCTCTTCCTCCTCTGCTGCTTTGGCGGCGATTTCTGCATCCGTGGGAAGACGGACGGGCCGGGAGGCGGCATTGAGACGGCGCTGGTGGGCTTGTGCTTGGTCCACAGATGGAATGTAGTCGTCTTCATTATACGTCATTTGCGCGGCCTGCGGAGTGGTGTTGGACGGTGCTGAGAAGACTGTGACTGGTCGCGATGAGGGCTGGATCACAGCAGATGGTTCGGTAGAGGTAATGGAGGGATGAGAAAGAGGTTCAGGTGCTAGTGCTGATGGCGCAGGTGCTGCTGCTGCTGCTGCTGCACCCCGAGGGTCGGCATGTTCAGCACTCGGTACTTGCTGTGGAGGTTGGCTCGAATCGGTAACCGTCTCAGGTTGTGCTGGCGCAGCGGCCGCCTCATGTGGTTCCGGGGCAGCATCCTCAGCCGCTTTGAAATAGTCTTGAATCTTAATCATAGCCACCTCCAGAGGCTCCTCTGTCCGCCGGAAACTCAATCTGACCAAGACATTCCCACTATTGAATCCAAGCTGTGCTAGCGACTTCTGGAGATCTTGGAATGTCGACAGTTCTCGCCCCATGACCTGAACTACCGGAGTCTCGTAAAATAAGCGTCCGGATCCCTCGTTGCCGGCACTGGCGACTGGGACGCCTCGCCCAGTGAAATTTCGAGTCGGTCCGCCACCTGCGACCCCCGCCTCAAACTTGCGCAGCACTAGCCATAACGTTGTTGTGCTGGGGAACTTGTCTAGAAGCCGTCCGTTGGGAACACCTCGAGCTTCTGCCTCGGGCAGCTGTAAAGCGACCGTGACAATGGAAGGCGATTTGGAGAGCTGTACTAATTCAAGTTTCGCACCGGAAGCCAGGCCGGAGAGACGGAAGACCAAAGAAAGATCGAGCTGTTTGCCCTTGTACCTTCCCAAGTGTTAGAGTCCGTCTCATCGCTTCATCAAGCGCTCAGGGCACTTACTTGAGGCCGTACTGGCTCGCATTCAAGCCGAGTTTAGCGCATGCTTCTTGCAGGATATCTGTCAAATGTTTCCCGGGTGTCGTTTTGATTGTGGCTCTTCGAGCAGTCGAGTCTAGAACGACGACATGTGAGCTCATGATTCGAAGGCGATCGCTTGCTTGAATGATATTATTATTGCGGGGCAACTATGAAGGCAGATGGCAGTTGGGGGACTCTAGGATGAGATGGAAAAAGAAGTTGACAAAACCAGGAGTTCTATGTCTGAATAAGAGATTTGTAGAGGAATAGAATAGAAGTTCGAAGAAAGAGGAGGGCATGAGACACCAGTATTCATCTACCTCCGGAGTACTTTCGACGGTTCTCGTAGGCAGCGGGCGCAGCGTCATCCGCAACGAAGCTCTCGGCGGCTCTCACGCGTTGGACCAGCAGCAGAGCTTCCCCGTCATTTATCATCTTCCTCCATCATCGGCATCACCTCCATCCTCACCTTGAATTCATTCTCGTCCTTCCCCCACCTGCTCTTTTTCTTCAATTTTACTCTCTCAGATCTCGTACAGCTTGCAATTTCTCGACATACCTAATTCAACATGGTAAGTTGAGCTTCCCCTTCGTAACCTGACCGACTTGAGCTAATTGAACCCAACCTCCAGAGCTCTCCCTTCGATATCAGTACGCACTTTTTCCTGATCCTTACCACGATCTCACATACAAGAGACTGACAGTGTCTTCTTTAGATGGCGGAGCTTGTGTCGCCATGGTGGGCAAGGACTGCGTTGCAATTGCCTGCGACCTCCGACTGGGCATGCAGGCCTTGACAGTCTCCAACAACTTCCCCAAGATCTTCAACTACGGTCCCTCGACTTACCTCGGTTTGACTGGCCTGGCCACGGACGTCAACACCGTCTCAGACCTCTTTCGCTACAAAGTGAACATGTACCGACTCCGCGAAGAACGGAACATTGCGCCGCAGACTCTGGCCAACCTGGTCAGTTCATCGCTGTATGAGAGACGGTTTGGGCCTTTCTTCGTGAGCCCTGTCATCGCTGGCGTGAACAGCACGACGGGCAAGCCTTTTATTTGCGGGTTTGACAGTATCGGATGCATCGATTTCGCGAAGGATTTCATTGTCAGTGGTACGGCGAGCGACCAGCTTTTCGGTACCTGTGAGGGTTTGTGGGAGCCAGATCTGGTACGTTTCTTGTTTCAGCTTATATTGCGAGACGGTTCCGCTAACGTTCGATTTTACCTTCCTCAGTCCCCTGAAGATTTGTTCGAGACCATTTCTCAAGCCCTTCTCAGTGCAGTTGACAGAGATGCTCTTTCCGGTTGGGGTGCTCAAGTATACATCATAGAGAAAGACAAGGTGACGAAGCGGCTACTCAAGGGAAGACAAGATTAGATGTTTTGTATTTGGCACACATTCCGTTTTATTTTCGTTTAATGCCATCTCTCACTCATATCCTGGTCGAAACCTACTGGTTGGAAGCAGTCGCTGTCGTCTGAGATCTAAGTTGAATCCTACATACCGTCGGTTCATGGAGGGAGCACAGCGATGTCGGTCCATGTACCTCTAGCTCTGAAGCATCAGCCTGACACGAACCTGAATAAGCAAGGGCAGACGGCTGCTTTACGGCCTTGATGACTATTTCTTCATGAACCAGGATCATACATTTCCACACTTAGTAGCCATTCTTCCCGGTTACGGCGCCACACGCCTGGCCATACTTCCCCAGAAAGCTTCTCACATCAGCAGCGAGCAGCTCCGGTACTTCCCACGCGGCAAAATGACCACCACATTCAAACTCACTCACCCGCACCACCGAGCCCATGCTCCGACACCATAAAAAGGGTAATTTGACCAACTCTCGTTTGAAATGAGCCACGGCCAGCTTGACCTCACCAGGGATGGACCCGGAGATTGCATCAACGGTGGACACCCTCTTCAGCGTCGACGCTGGCGCATCGGCAGGCGGCGTCTGCGCAGCTTCGTAGTAGATCCGAACCGAAGCCGCCGGGCCCGCGACCGAGAACTGGTAGACACTCACCCACGTGAGGATCTCATCGTCTGTCCAGGGATAGTCATCCGCCCACGCGTGTAACTTGTCGTAGATCCAAGCCAGTAGGGCGACGGGACTATCGTGTAGCCCATAGCCCAGTGTCTGGGGGCGAGTTTCCTGCTGGCGCATGTAAGCATTTCCCCGGTTCAGATAGTCGAGGGTAGTCGAGATGAGAGCCCTGCTTTTGGGTGAGAAGGGAAGAGTGAGGACTGATTGCAGGAAGATCCACGGGTGGCGCCATGGGTAGGGAGGAGCCACGGGGGCGAAGTTGAGATGGACGGCTTTGACGTGCTGGGGGTAGAGCGTTGCCATGACGCGGGCGATGATGCTACCCCAGTCTCCTCCTTGGATGACTATCAACTTGTCAATAGGATGGTCGTGATATTGATACTCAATGGAAAGGATCGTCATGGAAGCGTACCGTATTCCTCGTAGCCTAGATTGAGCATGAGAGCATGCATCGCCTGGGCATATTGCGCCAGACCGAAGCCTCTCTACACATAGACAGCGGCCGGTCAGCTAGAGCAGTACTGATGGCACAACTTGGACAGACCTGTTTCACGCCCTGCGAGAAGCCAAAATTTGGCAGCGAAGGCACCACCAGGTCAAATGCAGGCTGATTCTCGTCGCCTTTCGTCAAGAGAGGTATCAGCTTGACAGCCTCAAGGAAGCTTCCTGGCCCTGGACATTGTATACGAGTCAATACTTCATCTACAAAGCCAACCGCGCATATGGTACATTACAGCCATGTAGGAAGAGTAGCGGGATAGCACCCGGCGTAGGGCTCTTCTGGTGCACATAATGAATATCCAGCTCCGCAAAGCCCGGAACCGAGACAGAGACCATGAACTGCTGCAGTTTTTCGTTCAATTCCTTCTCCTTTGCGCGCCAGTCGAAGCCATCGCGCCAATATGCGGTCAGTCGTTTGATCTCGTCCAGTGGGACTCCCAGGTCCCAGCCTGCTGCGTCTAGTTCATCCGGGAAGCTAGCGGATTGAAGTTTTTGGTTCAAGAGATCCAGTTGGGAGTCGGGAATCCTGATGTTGAAAGGCCTAATTCTATTCATCTTGATACTATCTGAATTAAAGTGACAGCTGGATTGATCGAGGCATTGTAGATACTCCGTACCATGATGCGCATATAACCCAGCTGTCATGCCGTCCGCGGATCTACATATGACACCCATCGATACCTCGGTCCGTATGCGTATTTTGTACCTCGACGATCTCAAGCAGATTTGTCTACTCCGTACTCCGCACGTAGAACAGAACAGGCGCATGGACTGAGAATAGCAACATCATGGCTACCGTAAGCACTACCCTTCTAGTACCTGCAATGAAGCCGCAGCAGTTCAGTATATCCGAAGTTGGGATAGAAAGCCATGCTTGATCCATGGAACTAGACTGTTTTCAATTATGATCCCATGATTATTTCGATCATCTTGCGCCAGTCCTTGGTATGATTATGGCCATGTCTCCTCATCTAAGGATTGATTGCCAGCAGGTCAAGAGTCCGACATCCTGAACCAAGGCCGCTAACAAAAGGTCAGTCCTATCTATCTTCCACGTCGTACAAGTTCGGGTTAAATTCAACCCTTCGAGTAGAGGAAGCATTGTTTCTGAGTTAGCAAAAGGCAATTTTAAGCATTCCAAAATTTGGGATTATCATCCTTGTCGCCATCGTCATCATGCTGTCAAATTTGCCGCTGTTGCCCACTTTGTCGTTCGTTCTAGATCTCAGCCATTTTCGGCTGTAAAAGTTAAGGCAAGGGGAGGAGGGTCCGGCGTCGGTGTACAACCAGCGATCAATTCAGGTACTCCGTACCTCTGGCTCAGAACCACAATGAATGTGGTCCACTCGGTTCCTGATCCAAACTGTGCTTATTATCTCTTTATTACCTCTCCTTACTGTCAAGATGAAATACTATGAGAATTGAGGGACCAGCTTATTATTGTGAAACCAAGACTTTTAAAAGCTTTGACAAGGCCAAAGGATAATAATAACAATAATTTAATCCCCATAGGATCGGCATGCTGAGGCCTACGGTTTGCAGCGTTTCAGCCTTCCCGTGTGTCTAGACCAGCCGATGGAGAGAAGAAATGGATCTGTCCAGTTTGTGAGAGCGCAGACTGGTTAGGCTGGAGGCTTTTTACAGATGGAAATCGGAGATAATGGAAGTCTCTTCTGGTCATTCATCCCTCGTAGATAGAGCCTAGTGTCTAATATTAATTAGACTGACTATACTGAGAATATATTGACAACTCGACCAACACAGTGCCCGCCTATTCCCCGCGTTATTTTCTCTCTGCTTGTCTCCTAGTCTACCTCTTCCTCCATTAACATCCATCGTCTTTAATAATTAATCAGATCAACGCAATCCTCGTTCTCTCACCATGTGCTTGGCCTTTTGAGCTTTCGTCCTTCGCTTAGTTTCCTTAAGTGGACCGCTAACGCAATCTATGTTGTTCCTTTCTCCAGATAGGGAGCCATGCTTTGTGTTTCGCTCAACGATACCTTGTCTCGTGAATCTCTGATCTCCTGGAAATCTGCTGCAGTCTCCTGGCGCCCACCTATACCTTAACAGCGGAAGCAGCAGAAGGAAAGGAAGCAGCAAACACCGTTGGTAGAGGGAGAACAGAGCCATTACCTATCGGCAGCGAAAGCTCCATTCCGAGAATTATGTCCGATTCGGTCGAGTCAGAATGGTCGGATTCAATCCCCTCCTGCAGAACCATGTCATTTCTGCCCTGCAAATCCGAGTGTCTCCCTGGCGATACGACTCCCACTACGTTCCGAGACGATGAGCCGGGGTTCGACTCCTCGCCCGCCCGCAGATACGCCGGCAGTGCCCAAAACATCGCCATTGAGCGTTTGGTAAAATTGAAGCAGGAACTCAGAGCTCTTGACTCGGAGTCGTTCTGGAACCGGCTCATGGAGAGCGTCACCTCGATCTGCAATGCCCAGTATGGCTTCGTAGCTCGCAAAGTCCAAGACCATGAGCTCGTGAGCTCGATGGGAGATCACAAGCCAAGTCTCTTTGGCACTGCATTCTATTACAATGACGGATATCAGACAGTTGGGATGCACAGGCACAGGTATTTTGCTGGGGGCAATCCCTTGTCACATATGGACCACGAGAAACCATGTTTGATCCCGGAGAATCTTGAATCTCTTAGTGCTTTCTGTCCGGACAAACTTCCGTTTTCCGCGGACGGATACTTGGCTGTGCCACTCTTCTTTCAAACGAAGTGTATCGCCCATCTCGGTCTCATGTGGTCCAAGTCTGGCCTACAGAAGCGAAGTCTACCGTGGTCATTCCTAGAGATGATCCTGTATTCGCTGGAGGATTTGGTTGTCCAACAGATTCATAACGATGCCGAGTGTCCGAAGCTCAATGAACAACCGAAGAGAGGAGCCACGGGCGCCCCCGGAAGTGTAAGAACCGTCGATAATATGGACTCCAGCATTTCCAATTGCTACACCGAGTTCACGACTCAGCCCCTCAAGCCGTATGCTCGAAGCTTGTCCCATGAATTACGAACGCCAATGCAGGGAGTTGTGGGAATGCTGGACGTCATGCATGCCACCGTACGAGATGCCATGCAGGGGAAACCTCCTGCAAATGGATATGTCTTCCAGTCTCTCAAGGAAAGCATCGAGATGGTTCAAGGTTAGTTGCAAGGAAACATCTTTCAGGAGCAAGCCGCTAATGCAACCGAAAAACAGACAGTGCAAGACGGGCGGTTGAGGCTGCAGATAATGTCGTTCATGCCTACGATCTCAATATGCAAGTTCCCAAAACCCCCCAGCGGGAGCATGAGAGCGATCCATTCAGTGGCCCGGTCCAGTCACCGATTGAAAGTCGGCCAAACATCTTCACTGAAGGCAGCAACGTTGCAGTTAACCCATACAAGCGGCGACGAAGCAATCCCGCTGACTGGAACGAAGCAACGACGCCAAAAGCTAAGGCGCCCCGGCGCTCGGCCAAGAAAGAGCTGTCTCCGCGGAGTGAGGATGTCAAGAATGCCGTTTACGAGAGCGAGCAAATCGTTCACGCAAATCCCTCCCATCGAATCGACGAGGTCATGGCAGACATGGTGGAGACGCGTCCCCCGTTAGCTGTGAGGAGATCGGCACCCCATCTTCTGCTGGAAGGCATCAATCTCAATATGAGAAGTCCCTCTCTGAGAGTCACCAAGCTTCGTGACCTGCTTCGACTGGTGATAAACGAATCGCTCCATGTCGGCGGCCGACCTGATTTTACTCTTAGCGAGGCTACGGAGCTAGGAGAGCGGATTGAGGTTCGGACACGATCTTCCAACGGGGAGATTTTCTCGAAGACTATCGTGTGGAGCGTTGACGAAGCGCTACCGGAAACTTTGCTTGTGGATGACAAAGACCTGGCAAAGTTGATTTCATGCGTCTTTCTAAACGCAGTGAAGTTCACAAATAGTGGTATGATTACAGTCAGCGCAAAGGTCGGTCCTAATGTCGGTGAAGTCTTCATCACCGTGCGAGATACTGGACCAGGTATACCAGAGGCATTTTTGCCCAAGCTTTTTACACCTTTCGCAAGAGAAGATGCGTCCATCACTCGGAGCAAGGACGGCCTCGGTCTCGGACTCCTGGTCGCTAAGGGTCTTGCGAGGAAGATGGGTGGTGACTTGATCTGTGTTCACTCGTCTACCTCTGGGCCCGATCATGGCTCCGAATTTGAAATCAGTATTCCCGTCACTCAGTCCAAGTCAAGCAACAAGCCGGTAGCTTGCATGGCAAGTAGTTTGACGCCTCCTGACGGCAGCGATCCTTCGCGATTGAGTACGACGAGTACTTCGAGCAATTCCGGCCCCGAGCAGTGCATGCTGTCACCCTCGATTCGCCGGCCGAGCCAGCCGATCCAACAGCCGTCCCCAAGTCTGACCGAAGAAACTTCGTCTCAGACATCGACCCCCGTTCGCTCCGTTTCCACCGCGAAATTTATCCGCCCTTCAATCAATAGGGATGCGTATGACGAGAAGCTCGGACAGAAGCACCCGCTCACCTTCCTGGTAGCTGAAGACAATATGATAAATCGACGGGTTCTGGTCAGCATGCTCAAACGGCTTGGGTACCATGATATTTACGAAGCTTGCAACGGAAAGGAAGCCGTGCGCGTAATGCAGGACATTTTGGCATCTCAGAAATCCAAGACCTCGAGTCGGTCCTCCGACAGTCGGAAAAGGCAAGCAGAGGATCAGTTGGGAGACTGCGCATGTAAGCGCACGAAACCAGTCGATGTCGTCTTGATGGACCTCTGGATGCCGGAAATGGACGGTTATGAGGCAACGTCGAAGATCCTCAGATTAGTAGATGAATACCAGCGCCAGGCCCTTCAGAAACAACCGAACTGTCAGGCCAATAACTTACTGCTGCCGCTCCCCACGGTCCTTGCCGTCAGTGCAGATGTAACGGATGAGGCTCTGGGACGTGCCTCCAAAGTTGGCATCAAAGGCTACATGACCAAGCCTTATAAGCTGTCAGATCTGGAACGATTGATCGTTGAGTTCTGCGGCGAGGGGACGAGCCCTTGACCGGATGAATATATTATGACACCTGACACGATTCGCGTTGCTACTCCCGGCGGCTCCTCGCCTCTGCCTTTTGCATTTTATGGTTTGGATGCCTATTTAATGTTCTCTATACCCAGTTCCGTGTAAGATGAAACTCAGGCACGGACCCGTTTTGTTTTAATTTTATGATGGGCGATACATCTTTTTTGTTGGTACATCATTTACGGCCGATGACTGAGACAAGATCACGACATATGAATCCATTTGCATTCCGATAATAGATGGAATTGGCCATCTGCTAAGCACTCCGTTTCTCTGGTACAGACTACATGAAGAACGCACAGAGGGCACTGGTTTGTAAACCAAGTCATTACATCCATATCAAGCTCAATCCACAACTATAACAACAGAACGCTGGAAATGCAACAGATAGGACTCAGGATAGACTGTTCCAGCCCGCAAGTGTCATCACAGGTCATTTCCTTCTCGTTGTCTCTGCTAACCCAACAAACAAGCGTAGACAGTCTATATTTATATGTCCGTCTTAGTAGCTGGGTGGTCCGAAGATATACTCCATAGTCCGCAGATATATCAACTAGAGATGATACAGATCGAGAGAAAGGAATGCTACTGCCCATGCAACAGATGTCCGTCGACTAGTTTTCCTCTCCTGCGCCCGATTCTCACCCCCTTACGTCAGCTTCTGCTTGATGAAGAAGGACCGGAGATGTGACAGTTGCCAGGCACATGTAGCGGAAAGCACGGCAAGTTGGATGAGGGTCCAGCGCACAACTCGGGCGTTAGTAGCCTCGGATTGGTCACGGAATTCAGCTTCACGCTCCTATGATCGAAAAAGTCGCAAATCAGCAACCGCCATCCCCAAATTTGGAGAAAAACGTACCCGTTGGAACACCTGCTCACGACGAATGTCCTGTAACCGCCCATTGAGATCCCTGACCTTCTGCACAATATCCTTCATCTTGTCCTTGTCCTCGGTCTCGATCTTGCTCGTCTCGCCGATGGCAATGTCCAGGTTCACTCTGACGGCGCCAGCGGGGGTACCGGACAGCCAGCCGCCCAGGGCAGCGTTGGTGTCGGGCGTAAGACAGATTCTGTGCTGGCCAGCGTCGGCGGCGGAGAAGGTGAAGCGGCCGGCGTGGCCGTCGCGCTTTGAGACGACGCGGTGGTCGTTGTCGAAGGTCTCATCGACGGTGATGAGCATCTTTAAGCTTGGGTCGACCGAGAACGTGTTGGACTGCTGGTTGATGACTTCGGTCTTGAAGTTCCCTGCTCATTCCGAATACATTTTTCAATTAGCAATCAATCCACAATAACAGAGTCAATAGAATGACCATCACGTACCAACAACCAGAGTGTCCTTGGGCAGATCCTCAAAGAAGCATTTTGTTTGACGGCCGTCCATATAGAAGTAGAGGGCATTGGCGGGCACAGCAAGACAGAGCATAGCACATAGAACCAGGGCTGATGAAAGCCACGAGGCCGATGATCTGGTCGGAGCCATATTGAAGATCCCAATTGAAGTCAGGACGACAATCGATGCTGGAAGAGAAACTGGCGTTGTTGATGGTTGATGTTGAACTGAAGATCTGGCACCAACGACGGGACGGCCTTGGCGCGATCCGGAATGGAGGAAACCAGCCGTTTTCTGCGTGCCGGTTTCCTTCTTTCAGCCATCACGGTCGGCATCTCATCATTGATTCCATCTTTGGTTTTTCTGTTGTTCTCTTATCTAGTACTCTGTCTCTAGAGTTACTCGATCATCTTGCGAACTTCTAGATTGACTGAAACCTTTTCCGGTGATTTTAATCGCCATCATGGCCGCCGCCGATGTGCGCGACATGCTGGATTTGCCCGCAGAGGGCCAGCCTCGACCTCACAAGAAACAGAAGGTGGTCGAGAAGAGACCAGGTCGGTTTGCATCCATCATAAATTCCACCAGATACAGACACTGATATCCAGGCCTCAGAGGGGATTACTCGCGAGCTCTACGCGCTTCTAGGCGAAAGGGCGCCTCCGATCGCCATCAATGAGAACCGATACAAGGGACGGCCGAAATGGATGAGCAAGCTCAGAGTGCGCCCATGGTATGCTCTTGATTTGCGGAGATTTGATGTTATGACTGCGCTGATTATATTCCCTTACCAGGCAAATGACTCCTTTCACCAACAATGCTCGATCGGATGGGCTTGTTCTGCGTCACTGGCAAAGACAACCCGAATCCGCAAAAGCACCGGCACTTGAAGGACCTTCGGAGATGGAGGTCGATGAGGCGAAGGTGGAAGGAGGGGCTGCAACACTAGAACAGGAATATACATTTGCAAAATACAATGTCAAACCTCGAGTACCGAGACGCTACACGGACGAGGAATACAACCGGCACTTGAAGAGCGATGAATGGTCGCGGCAGGAAACGGACTACTTGATGGATCTCGTCGAAGAGTACGACCTCCGCTGGGTCGTTATTGCCGATCGCTACGATTTCCAGCCTCAGCCCATGGACGCCGAAGCGAATGCGACCGCGCTCGTCCCGGCTAAACGGTATCGAACAATGGAGCAGATGAAGGCGCGGTACTACTTCATTGCCGCATCAATGCTTGCGCTGGAACATCCCCCATCAGAAATGTCCGAGGCCGAATTCGATCTGCACGAGAAGATGATGAAGTTCGACCCAGACCGCGAGCGGGCTCGCAAGGAGCTCGCTGCACTCCAACTAAACCGCACCGCAGACGAAGTACGCGAGGAAGGCATACTTTTGGAAGAACTCAAACGCATCACATCCAACGAGCAAAACTTCATGACCGAGCGCAGGGAGCTCTACTCCAGACTCGAAGTGCCCATCAGTGTGGGTAATACTACCATGTACCAGTCTAGCCAGGGCTTATCCCAGCTCCTGCAAACCCTCCTGCAAGCCGACAAGAGCAAGAAGCGACGCTCCATCCTCGGACCAGAAGCCGCCGCTCCCAGCCCAGCAGGTCAAACACCTACATCGAACGCCCCAACCAGCGCACGCGACAGCCGAGCAGATACCCCCAGCCACGCATCCGCCGCTCCATCCAGCAAGAAGGGATCCGTCGCCGCCGCCGCCGCTGCCGCCGCCGCAGCAGCAGCAGCCAAGGAGCCGCCGCAAACCGTCAAGACGCTCACCCCGGCCGAAGAAGCCAGGTACGGCGTACAGCACCACGAGCGTGTCGCTCCAGGTGTGCAGTTCCGAAGCGACCGCGCACAGAAGCTCACTCAGGCCAAGTCCAACGTGCAGTCTCAGAAACTCGCCACGGCGCTGGCAGAGCTGGAGATCCCGCCGCGTCTGCTTATGCCTACGGAGCGCGTGTGCAAGGAATTCGAGAAGCTTATCCACTCGGTCAACCTGTTGCTTGATGCGCGCAAAGTGTCCGAGAAGATCGAGAGCGAGATCCGTGTTCTGGAAGCAGCCAGAGAGGAAAGAGAGCGCAAGACGAAGGAGGTCAAGGACAAGGGGAAGCCAGAGGTCAAGGCTGAAGAGGTGGAGAATCCTGATTCTGCAGCTGGAGACTCTGCTACGGCTGCTCCCGCGGAAGAAGAGCGTGCGGATACGGGACGCAAAGGTGCCGAAGCCGGCAAACATACGGATCGGAGTGCGGGGGACCGCGATGGTGTGTCTCATAAACGCTCAGCCAGTGTACTGAGCAATGGGAGCGATAAGAGTACCAAGCGGCAAAAGAAATAGCTGCGTCGGTGGGATATCTGGCGTTGATGTTGGTGGTGTTGGTGGTGCGTTCTAATATACCTCTGTACGACTACATGAATTGATATATTTTCTGGCCCATTGGCAGTCTTCATATTCTCTATGTGCTAATAGGGATAACATTCTGAATTAAACAAACTGCACGGTCCCATGGGTGTCACTGCTGGCCTTGAATAGACAGACCGAAAAAGGCGTTCTTTGATGGTCCATCAGACTACGCCCGGCGCAATCCGCGTTCCATCTCTCTCTAAGTTGAGGATCCATTCCTCCAGAGAACTTCACTCTGGGTCAGAATACAATTCGAGGCAGTCTTGGTACATGCTGGCCCAATCATCGATGGTTGATTCCGGGTCATCGCATTGGAGGTGTTCCTCATTGTTCCCATGGGAGTGCTGGACCTTGGGTCGTTCCAAAGCATCTTGTGAGATTATGCAACCTTCTTTGTCTTGAGAAGTACTGTGTGAATTCTCTTCCTTCACAGTATGCTGTGACGAAGACATTGATACATCATCGCTCGCAGGATCGCGGCATCCCTTCCGACTAGGGGACCTCAATTTCATGGTTTGTGCTCCCTTCTTCCGACCAATGGCGTATTGACAACTAGGATTGGTTGATGTCATTGTACGCTTATGTCCTCTATTCTTAGGATTGTGCTGTTCCATTCGTTGGCTTTGTGGTGACTGTAGTTCTCTCGCAGATTCCGTAGAACTGTCTCGGAGACTCTCATTAAAGGCTGACGCACACTCCCCCAATGCATGACGCTCACTCACACAGTCGCTCGAGCAGTTTCTAGGTTTCAGACTACATAGAGCTCTTCGGTTATCAGACATTTGAGTGCCGGCGTGATTATTTCTTCGATCTGCGAACCTACGCCAGGTGTGAGAATTGATGACAGAGTCGCAACTCGCAGAGTCGCTGGCATTTGAAGATCTGATGAGAGCAGTTGCGTCAGACCAGCGGGAAACTCGCAAACGATCAATAATATGCGCAATATGGGGTTTGGTCGATGACTCCCCTCGTGTCGACGATGCCTTGCCGGAGTCTTTCTCTGCAGTTTCGTCCTTGTCTCCATCTACCACAGTATATCCATAGCCGAGACGTCGCCCTCCCGACATCCATCCAATACTGACTTTGCGCGGCGACGTCATTCCGCTGCTCAATGCGACGGATCCGAGGGAGGTTATGGACCGGTTCAAATCAAACTGTTCGGTAAATCTGCTCTTCAAAGCATCTGTTTTGCCAAGAGAGCCGTGATCCAAAGACAGAACATGACTTTCCAAGAGTGATACGCTTCGAGATGAAGCATTAGGGGAAAGAGCAGCGAAAGGTGTCCTGCTACAGCTGATTTCTCTCTTGTTTTGATGCATAATTGTCTTCTCAATATTCGCTGGAACGTCCGCGGACGTAGAGCTAGTCCTTGGAGAGTAGCACGAAGACGCTTGCCTCGCATCTTGCACCCCCAGCTTTAATACTCCTCCATCCCAGACCGGTGTCAATATTCTAGCGGGACTTCCAAAGCTACCGCCTTGGTATTGCGCGGCCGAAGTACCGGAGGTGCTGCCGTTTGGGTTCTCGTAGCTTGATTGACTGGGAGATAGGACCAGAGGTGAAGTTGACGCAGACGGCAGCATCTTGGAGATGTCCAAATCTGTGAGATGGATCGATTGGCCTTCGGATGTCGATACTTGATGTGGTTGTCTTCTTTTTGTGATAAGCAGTTTTGGGGAGTGCTCGATTGACGGGCTGACCAGATTGAGAGGATGGTCTGGGATATTAAAGCCACGACCGGGAGATCCTGGCTGTTCTTGGAGTGTAGGAGAGATGATGTCCTTGCCATCGAAGATGTTCAGGGATGCTGCTGAAGCCGAAGCAATTGGGACAGGGCCGCAGTCCGCATTGTTCTTGCCGGGGGTTGCTTCATTGTTAAGGCCCGCGGAAGGACGAAGACTCCCTCTGGCTTTAAGGCTTTGGACACTTGGTTCGTGGGAGATAAAAATGCCATGCATTGCCTGCGGACTCCAGCCTTCATGCTCCGGTGAACTGATTGACACTTCTGTCTGCTGATAAACCGGACACTTGTCGTCCTTTCCATAAAGACTGTTCCCTTCGTCGCGGTGGGGTTGCGCAGGGGTTACACCCTTACGACCGATGCTGGCCGCAGCCTTTACATTGTCCGCAATGTGAATTGGAGTGGAAATGAACTGCGCATCACTGTCGTAACCTCTTTCGCTCATCAAGCCGCTTCCAAACTCATGTGGTGTGGCAACGGCGCCGTTGTACTTCGCAGACTTCGAAGAGATCGAAAACAAAGAGGTTCCGGATCTCCTGTCAGATCTTCGTGAAGCCACGTTCAGTCTCCTTGAGTCTCTAGAAAGCCTCCTTCGAAGCCTTTCGGAAAGCCCTTCAGAGGAATGTCTTGGACTCTGAGGTACGATCGTATATTCATTTGCAGATGAAAGGCCTGGTCATGTCAGAAAGGGTGTCCGCCACAGATATAAGGAGCAGGTCGTTCTCAATCACCTCTTGGATGGTCACCTAGGAAGAGTGGTGGCTCAGTCTCATTCAGTTGGTATGGTTGTTCAGCAATGGACGATGAGGGGGATTTCCAAATCCTTCTAAACCGACGGCAGAGAAGGAAATCCATTGAGCATCAGTGAGGTTCCCGTGCACACAGGATGTGATCCTTGCAGACACATCAATCGCTGTGTAGTTTGCTGAAGCGATGCATGTCCCTGAGATGTGCCGTAGATGCCAGGCTCAGCCCCGAGACTCTCATGAGGACGATCATGGATGCTCAAAACGGAAGCATCGAACGGTTGTCTGGTGGTGAGGGTCAAGAAAAGGAAGGAGGCGTCCATGTTCTTACTTTCTCTGGCTTTCGAACTGACAGCTTTGCGATTCTTTCTTCCTTGCTAGAAGAACACCTATAGGACGTCATTGGCTATATATATATCATTCGGCGATGTAAATGGATGTCTCTGACCGAGTCAGTCTACATCGGAGGAGCAGTAATGCGCCGAGAATTACGCGTCGAAGTGACTTTCCGTCACCAATAACTGATAGGCATTTGCTCGTCTCATGCTAAGACTAGATTCTGCACATCCCGCTGGGAACTCGTAGACTAGGAGTTTTCAAAAAGCGGTCTAGGTACACTCGCAAATGTACTTGAGGTCTGTCCCATTCAGATTGACAAAGTCGTATGTAGATCAGCTTCCCTCCTATTATTTGGTCCGTAAATTCGAGTCTACCAAGGACACCTAAGCTTGAGTCTGAAGCAAGTCGGGTTGTTTCCATCCAAGGGTCTAGTCTGACAACCGCATCACTCCTACTCATATAATGATCAATGGACCAGTAACCGTGCTATATCACCACTCTTGCAAGTACTCCGTTCCTATAACCAAGATCAGGCTTCCTCACTCTTCTACAGGATGCAGAGGACAGCTGTTGAAAACCCAGCTGGTGAGAATCTGTATGTATGGTAAGAACCAGTAATCTGGTACCCATGTACTGAAACAGTCCCTAGGTACGGTACCTAATTAGTGGCCGATCACGGACCCCGAGCCGGAAAGGCCAGCGTTCTCCGATATCCCACTACGGAGTATGAACACCAATTATGGGTCCCCAAAGTCTGGATGCAATGGATGGAGACTGACAGATTCTGGAGGAAAACCCATCACGCCATTTTGACTCATGACTACTTGGGTATGGTCTGGAAGAGTTTATCATACTCCGTACATCGACGGTCATTGAAAACATCCGCTTTATTACTATTACCTGTCATAATAAAAACACCTAATAGCTCCGAGTCTTACCAGCCAATTACCGCCGATTACCCCTCCATTCCCCTCCAACTTACTGTCTTTTTCTCCCTCGTGCTGCTCCTATCTATCGGCGGGCCCACATCGAGGGGGCTTCCCCTCCATCCTCTCTGTATCCCAATATTAAATATTCCCCCATCCCTCTGTCTGCTTCTTCTCTTCCCTCTTCCTCTTTCATCCCTCCCTCTTCCCTTTTTGAACTCACCTCTCTTCAGCAAGAGACTGATCTCTCTTGTCTGTTTCTTTATCTTTTTGTGTGACTTCAATTCATCCCTCTTACCATTCCTCCTTTCTCCTTCAAGTTTCGTATCCTCTTCCCTCTCACCCTTCGTTCGTATCACACATCATTCAAAATGGTTCAATCGTAAGGATCCACTTACTCTCTTGACTGGTCAACGGTTTCTTCTTGACATGCACTAACATTTGTGTCTGTAGCGCCGTTTTGGGTTTCCCCCGTATGGGAAAGCTCCGTGACCTCAAGAAGGCCACCGAGGCTTACTGGGGCGGCAAGATCTCTCGTGATGAGCTCCTAAGCGAGGGAAAGAGACTCCGTGCTGAGCACTGGAAGATCCAGAAGGATGCTGGTGTCGATATCATTCCCAGCAACGACTTTGCTTTCTACGATCAGGTCCTCGACCACATCCAGCTCTTCGGCGTAAGTTCCCCTGACCCGTTAAGGCATTCTCCGCCAGGTAATCTAACGAAGTCATTGAACAGGTCGTCCCTGAGAGATACAGCAAGTACAACCTTCACCCCCTGGATGAGTACTTCGCCATGGGTCGTGGTCTCCAGAAGCCCGCCTCTGAGGGCCAGCCCGCCATTGACGTTCCTAGCTTGGTATGGTGGCCTCCTCCAACAACCACTTGTTCATAAGGTTCCCCATTCTAATACGATATGTACAGGAAATGGTCAAGTGGTTCGACTCGAACTACCACTACGTCAAGCCTACCCTCCAGGAGAACCAGGTCTTCAAGCTCGCTGCCAACCCTAAGCCCGTTGCTCAGTTCCTCGAGGCCAAGGAGGCTGGCATCGTCACTCGTCCTGTCATCCTGGGTCCCGTCTCCTTCCTGACCCTCGCCAAGGCCGACCGCGGTCAGAAAGTTGACCCTATTGACAAGATCAACGATCTGGTTCCCCTCTACGTTGACCTCCTTGCCCAGCTGAAGGCTGCCGGTGTCGAGGACGTTCAGATTGACGAGCCTGTTCTCGTTTTCGATCTCCCTGTCAAGTCCAAGGCTGCCTTCAAGCCTGTTTATGAGAAGCTTGGTGCTCTCGGTGACAAGGCTCCCCGCATTGTCCTTGCCACCTACTTCGGTGACATTGTCCACAACATTGATGTTCTTCCTGCTCTGCACAACCTTTATGGTATCCACGTGGACCTTGTCCGCAACCCTGAGCAGCTCGATGCTATTATTGCCGCTCTTGGCCCCAAGCAGGTCCTCTCTGCTGGTGTTGTTGATGGTCGCAACATCTGGAAGACCAACTTCAAGGCTGCCATCGAGAAGGTTGAGCACGCTATCCAGAAGCTTGGCAAGGACAGAGTCATTGTCTCTACCTCCAGCTCTCTCCTCCACGTCCCCCACACCCTTGAGAGCGAGAAGAACCTCGATCCCGAGGTCCGGGATTGGTTCAGCTTCGCTGTTGAGAAGACCCACGAGGTTGTTGTGATCGCCAAGGCCGTCACCGAGGGCCCTGCTGCTGTCCGTGACCAGCTTGAGGCCAACGCTAAGTCCATTCAGGCTCGTGCCTCTTCCGCTCGCACCAACGACCCCAAGGTCAAGGAGCGCCAGGCTGCTGTCACCGAGGAGATGCACAACCGCAAGTCTCCCTTCCCCATCCGTCTTGCCGAGCAGAGCAAGTCCATCAACCTTCCTCTCTTCCCCACCACCACCATCGGTTCCTTCCCTCAGACCAAGGAGATCCGTATCCAGCGTAACAAGTTCACCAAGGGTGAGATCACCGCTGAGCAGTACGAGAAGTTCATCGAGCAGGAGATTGCCGAGGTTGTCAAGATCCAGGAGGAGCTTGACCTCGACGTTCTCGTCCACGGTGAGCCCGAGCGTAACGACATGGTTCAGTACTTCGGTGAGCGCCTCACCGGTTACGTCTTCACCACCCACGCCTGGGTCCAGAGTTATGGATCTCGTTGCGTGCGTCCTCCCATCATTGTCGGTGACATCTCGCGTCCCGCTCCCATGACTGTCAAGGAGTCCAAGTACGCCGTGTCTATCTCCAAGAAGCCCATGAAGGGTATGCTTACTGGCCCCATCACTTGCCTCCGCTGGTCTTTCCCTCGTGACGACGTCCACCAGTCCGTCCAGGCTCAGCAGCTGGCCCTTGCCCTCCGTGACGAGGTCATTGACCTGGAAGCCGCTGGTGTCAAGGTCATCCAGGTCGACGAGCCTGCTCTTCGTGAGGGTCTCCCTCTGCGCGCCGGCAAGGAGCGTGAGGACTACCTCGCCTGGGCTGTGCGTGCCTTCCGCCTGGCTACCACCGGTGTCACCGACGGCACTCAGATTCACTCTCACTTCTGCTACTCTGAGTTCCAGGACTTCTTCCACGCCATTGCCGCTCTGGATGCTGATGTTCTMAGCATTGAGAACAGCAAGTCTGACGCCAAGCTGCTCAAGGTCTTCGTCGAGGAGGCTTACCCCCGCCACATCGGTCCTGGTGTCTATGACATCCACTCTCCCCGTGTTCCCAGCGAGCAGGAGATCAAGGATCGCATCGAGGAGATGCTTCCTTACCTCCGCCCTGACCAGCTCTGGATCAACCCTGACTGTGGTCTGAAGACCCGTCAGTGGCCCGAGACCAAGGCTGCTCTGACCAACATGGTCAATGCTGCCAAGTTCTACCGCCAGAAGTACACCAAATAAATGGTGTGACTGGCTCTTTCAATAAACGGGGACGACATTCTTCAACCTGTCGCTCCGGAGACAAACGAAACTTGTTTTCGTTTTGTTAATGTGATGAGTTACGACGATGATACCAAAAGTTCAACATAAGGGTTCAGGGTTTTGTATTAGAAAATATGGGTGGGGGTCAACGGAGTTTMAACATTTACGATTTCAACATCGGCGTTCAAGCCATACATGACTGCCTCCTATATGCGGTCAGCATTTCCTTCGGTGGGATGTTTCTTTTTTCGCTACTTCGGTTTTAATCAAAAGGGATATGCATGATCGCGGCAGTCGGCGCCGCTGATGGTTTTTCTTCAATATTTCAACAATGTGTTGTACATGATGACACTGGAGGTACTGGTTTAGATCTACCTCTTCGAGCCTGATCAAATGAAAGGCAATTTCCAATATATCTCTCTTCTATCTCAGTAGACATTGTAAATGGTGACTGGAGGCCGTCTGCGATGGGAAGAGTCATGGGCTCTCCAAAGTAACTAGCAATGGCGTTGGGTCATACTATTCAGGAAAGGTGAGATCCCATCTTTGAGCTTTCATCGCAAGAGTTCACCAGCCAAATCCAGATCACAGCCACGGACACCATGGAACAGCGGCTCCGCGTCCCGCTACCGCCTTCTCCCCAAACTTCTCTACATACCACTTCCTCCCCCAGCGCGCATGAGGCAGCATATTAGCCACCGCATTAACAACAAACACGACCGCCGGAAAAGGCAGGGGAACCTGTAGTTTCTCCGCGAACGCCGCAGCGGGCCTCAGCCACGGAGCGATCTGCAAGGGCGTCGAGGCATAGGCGCCCGTGACAAGTGCCTGGCGGGTGGGGAAGACGGCAGTGCCGACGAGAGCGAAGCCGAGCCACTCGAGCCACTCGAAGGCGTAATGCGGGTAGAGGATGGAGCGGAAGACGCCGCGGGCGGGTGGGATGACGTAGACCTTGTCATACTTATTCTTCTTCTTGTTGTTGGCGCTGGCGTTGGCCTTTGCGTCAGTGGACGAGGACGAGGACGATGCCTGGATGAAGGTCGGGTGGTCCTCGTCTTCATTCTGGGTGATAGCCTCGTCGGACTTCTTGGCCGCGTCGCGCTTCTCGGCTGCTTCGCGGCGGAGACGGAAGAGCGTGCGCTCCGAGTGGATGTTGCCTATCATGCCAGCTGCGAAGAGGACCATCCCCAGGCAGGGCAGGAAGTGCGTTGCGGGGGAGTACTGCGACGACCCTCCTGGAGTGCCCGAGATGATGCCGTCTGTCTTGTACCCCAGTACCGGGACGTGGTATCCCACCAGCCAACCGGCCAGACACGACGAATTGAGCCAGTTGAACAGCACCGCCATTATGACGACGGTCGCGTGCATKGGAGACATGCTGGGGGCCGCGAAGAATGGCGAGATGATGGCGCGGTTGACATAGTGGATTACATAGAGGGACGCAACGAGCTTGTTAGATAGCGGTAGCGAGCTAATGCTGAGCGTTGGCGGCAATTTGTAAAGGATATAGAGCAGATTCACCGGTCCCACGATCTCCATGATGAACCAGCCAAGTTTGCCTGGGATGTTCAGCCAGGAGCTCTGGTAGGAGCCTTTGCCTGCAGGGTGCCAGGAGACAACCCATTGCGCGAGCGAGAACTGGTCCACGTTAGATTACGATAGTTTAAGAAGTATTGTATAGACTTACCACTGGAAAGTATTGGAAAATGTTGAGTAGGGTTGTGTAGGCCTGAGGAGTGGGAAGGATGAAGTCCCTCAAAGGGGGAAGAGACCCCTGGAACGACGAATATGCGGAGCCCATGTTCGCCTGCCTGAGACATCAGTATAAGCAAGCAACACGGTGAACTAATATGATCGACGCTAATTTAAAGAAAAACATACGAGGCAATAGTCCCTGATCAAGCTACCTGCTTTTTGCAAGGGTCTCACTGGTTCGGGATGCTCAGATGCTCAGGCGCTACAGAGAGTCTGAGATGATGGTGATCAAGGAAAGTTCGAAAGTAAATTTTTCAGACCATGATTATATACCTCTCTTAAGTCTCAACACAACAAAGAGAAGTGAATTTAGGGATATGGTGAAGGTGAATCCCATGTCAACAAAGAACGATCAATAGCTTGGGTTTATCCAATGATGTCACGGGATTGTCACCGCACGTGATCAGATGCTTAGCTACAGTTCGATGTATCGAACATCGATCAACTCCTTGTCACAACTGAAGATGGATGTATCTCTTCCCTCTCCTTAGCAGCCAGTACTCACGATGTATAGGTGTATAGAAAACAGCGAAGTACGTAGTATACGGAAAACGTGAAGACAAATCGGTTCCAATCCAGGATGGTCAAGCATGACATCCTTAATTCAAACTGAAGTAATTGCGCAAGGGCTGGCTTTGGTGGCTTCAGATGTCAAGGCCGAGCAAGTATTATTCATCAACAACTTCTATGCAAGTTTTTCTTGTGCTTCAATCAGTTGACGTATCCATAGTGTCAGTCACAGTCTGCATTAAATGCTGTCGTCGAGCCGCTAGTCTCTCCGCCTTAAATGCTTCAATCTTGGCCTTGAGCTCCGTATCTAGACAAAACCAGTCAGCCGGGTTGCTTTCGACGCTCGAGACAGGCAAGAAATGAAAGCTTACCAGCGATTACATCCTCCATCTTGAGTGGAGCTCTGTTGAACGGATCATGTGGGTCACTCAGAAGGTGAGACCGAAGAGTAGAACGATCCATGGATACCCTGGATCCAGGGAGGATAACCGGATCTTCCATCAAAGTATACATCAGGGGATCTAGCGAAAAGCTGTCAGCTATTTGGCCATCACAGATAAGTAATTCATCGAACATACCCAAGAATTCATCGGGAATTTCGCCCAGATCCTCCTCGGCTTGCTCGTCAGCCTCCTTGGCCGCCCTGACCTTCGCCTGCAGCTGTTCCCATTGTTGGAGCTCCTCCGGAGATTTCAGCGACCATTTTCGGAGGATATCCCCGGCCTTCTGAAAATTGGCCGGCTTGTAGGACCGTCCGTCCCTTGCGACGGCGAGGATGAAATTCTCCTTAGTCATCAGGTTGAGATACACATCGACGATCTCACTCAGCAAAGCTCGCGGGTTGAAACCGTACTCTTGCAGATTGTCCACTCGTAAGCTCGAGCTCTTCGGGCCAACCATGGCATCCAGGTTGTAATCAAGCATGTCTGCCAACCTCTGGACAATTTCAGGCATGGTGAATGAGTCTGCCAACGCTTCCGTAAATAACTTGAGCATGGCAACCGTCTCGTTTGTTAACTGCATGTAGGATTTGGCGTTCCGTTGTGCAGAAGCAAGATGCTCCTCTTTTTGCTGACGCTCCTGAGGATCCATGTTGTTCCCATTTCGACTGAGCTCGACCTGGGTATCATGAATCGTGATGAATGCGCCAAAGGATTCATCAAGCACGTAAGTCACGTCGTTTAGAAGCAAGTTCACAAAGCGAACGAAAAAGTCCAGATTTTGCTTGGACTGGTTGTAGAGCTTGTTCCGATACAGAGTGTTTGGCCAGATACATTTGATAATCTGGAAGATTTCGTAGCGAATGTTGAACTTGTCAAAGAACTGCGTGTGCGTCCCCGTGTGCTCTGCTTCAATATAGAACTTCATGACGGCATGCAGCAGGTATTCATTAGCAAAAGGGAAGGAGTTCAAAAGATCGACCAGAACACCGCGGGCGCCACCAGGGCGAGGCCATGTCCCCCGAAACAGGATCGAAACAAGACCCGCTTTCAGGTAAGGGTTCTTGATGTAGTCAGAGCTCTCCAGAAAAGTGATACAGAGCATAACCAGTTCGTCTCCCTGTGTCGCGGTGATGATTTGGGGCATGCACCACATGATGAATTTGAAGTTGCTGACAATGTCATCAACAAAGTATTCGGGAAGACACTTGAAGACCTCCGGCTGCTGCTCCGGAAGAGGCAACTTAATCGGTTCCTTTGGAAAATTGACGCCGGACACAAGCCTGAGCAGCCAAACGACGACATATCTCATGAACAGCATGGAACGTGCCTGCCATTGATCGTCGAACAAAACGCCTTGCAGACTGTATTTAAGGGCGAGACCCAAATCCAGCTTGTCCTTGTATTTCTTCAGAGCCTGTTCAAATACCCTAAGCTGCACTGGGTTGCTGATCCATCTGGGTCGCTCCAGCTCGAACCTCCTGATCGTACCCTCCATGTGCCGAAGATCCTTCTCAAGCTGGTCCAGCTTTGACGTCAGGGACTCACTACCATAGTGATGAGCAGCAACAGTCAAAAAGAAGATTTCAGTGATGAAGTTAGAAGTCCCTTCTTCTTTCTTTGAGTAAAACGCGTCAGACGCATGCTGATCGGCATTGATCTTGGTTTCATCTCTCATATCAACGCGTGGGTTCCGGTGCAGATATCCCGCATCGATCCTGTCAATCTAAGGACCTGGTGAGCTTGGTAGAAGAGTATGATGAGATAAACTGCATAACCTACCTTGGTGAAGGTTGCGTCCATGAAAGGTTCACAAAGCTTGTCAAGACATGTTGTGAGATTGAACATGAAACCGTCCGAAGCTACAGTAGTAGGATCCACCTGCATTGCTCTTCGTTTGTGGTTGATGTTTAAAGCGGCAGCGAACCAGTCCAGGACTCTGTCCCTTGCCTCCTTATTGGCGCGAATAATATGGTTGACGACATCAAACAGATCTGAGCTGAGCATCTGCTGTATCATTCTCATGGATCTTTGCGCATTTAAGATATATGACTGATCTCGAGTCTTGGGACTCGAGAAATAGGTCATGGTAATATTGCCCTGGAGAGGTGACAAGCGGAACCAGGGACCCAGAAGCGTCTCCTTCTCAAACAATGCTGGATCACGAGACTCGTTGAAAAAAGAAGACTCCGTAATAGCAGCGGCAATGACAGGATTACCAACCAGGTTTCGCAGAGCCTAGATAGGTTAGCAACAGGAATCTCGAAGGAAAAAAAAGCTAGAGGTATAGTTACTATTAGATAAGACTTGTAGTCATCATTAATAGTCATCGCAGCAAGGTCACGGCTCATCTCCTCTACGGCGGCGATCAAAGCCGGCTTGATGCTTTCGTCTTCCTCAAATCTCCTCACAGCTTCGCCCAAGAACTCAAGATCTACTCCCCTATCATCTTCGGGATCCAGAAGAAGATATGGCTTGAGCGGCGACCGCTCGGATGGCTCGAGCCTAAGGGACAACAGAATCAGTCAATCTGTCGTCCGTTTGGTCAATTGAACAGGGGAGAGGCAGGAACACACCCGAACATCTCCGGCATCGTGATCGCGAAGATGCAATAGCTCATGCACAGGCGCCGGGCCTCACTGATGACGCCGAACTTCGGGTCATCCTCGCGCACACGGCGAAAACCCTTGTGCAGCCTTGAGATCCGGCTCCAGCATGGCAATAGGTAGTCCAAAGGCTTCTGCTGGGTATTCGAGGCGGCTTCAAGGAGGGCCTGGTCCAGCACAGTAGTGTCGATGCGAGGTTCGCGACCCTGGTCCTCGAGTTCGCTCCGTAACCCAGGCAAATAGATCAACTTGTGCCCATGGATGTCCCGCTGTCGGTCTTCCCTCAAGCTAAGCTTGAAGACGGCGCTTAGTGTGCGATCCTCAAAGGATTCAATACTCTCTTCTGCCTTCGGTGGCGGAGGGGTGTTCGATACTGGGGTAGCAGATAACGACTCCGGTGCAGGACTGGCAGGGACGGACGGTGTTATCTTTATTCGCTTGCCTTCTGATTCTTGCAACTCCGGCCGAGGCGAAGAAGTTTGGGAGCGCGGTGCGCTGCTGATATTGATCTGTGGCTGCGGAGCGTCGGATGTTTGTTGAGGAGTAGGACTGGTCAGCGAAGGTGTAGAAGGCTGGGTAGAAGCTGTCTCTGGGGCTGCCGCATTTTCTGAGGATGATGGGTTTCCAAGCTTTGCGAGGCGCTTGTTGCGGATCTGCACAAGGAGTTTTAGTTGTCATCCAGCCATAAAACCACTCACTTTGACAAGAGCATCAATCAGTACAGCACTGACCTTATCCGCATCAGAGAGAGTATCTGACATCCTCTGTTAACAGGGGAGAGGTGAACGAATGCCCCAAGGGAAGAAGAAGCTCTGTCAGCGGGGCAGAAAGGTGCGGAGAAAGGTAGAGTAAGCAGTTACTAGTATGACTGAATCAAGAGGGATCACAAAAGGCAACAGTCAAAGAAATAAGTACTTTGAGGGGAATCTGAGGACATCTATGATTTAGTAACAAGAAGCGCCGATGGATGAATGCTAGTGGTCACTCTACAGTACTGGCGACATTCGGTCATGGTCGCTGAGATTCGCCTGCATGATTAATGTCGTTAACTAAGCCCGGCAGACCGCCCTTGCCATTCCTCCACTTGTCAAGCATGGAAGATAATGTATTTATTATATTATTCACTTATCCTTCTGAAGGACGGTATCAAATGTCTCCGAGTTGATGTTTCAATTCTCTTCACAGCCGTTGATAAAAGTATTTCCACAATAAGAGTAATCATAGACATCCAGTAACTCATCAGTCCATGGGACGCCATCGAAGATCTCCGCCAGTCATTTGCTTCTAATGCAAAACAGAAAAGCAGACAGGAGAAGCGGCCAACAGGAAATTATGAAGAACCAAGATCGCAGGTCAAATGCAAAAGGACGTATCGTGGCGCTTGTTAATATCTCCCCTTCAGAGAATCTAACCGCCGGCAACTCTTAAGCTCCATGGCCCTCGCCTCCTTCATCTTCTCTACGTCTGGGAAGAACCAGCCCTGGGCTTCTTGCATCATCCGGTCCCGAGCATGTACTTCGCTCTCGCATTCGTACCGCAATTTGGTGATATAGTCCACTTCCACTTTTGTGTCCAACTGGCGAAGTTTCTTCGCACTGTAGTCTTCCACGTCCCTAGGATTGACGAAATAATTGATACTGTACTTCGGTGTTGTCCGCTGCATGGTGTGAGGGGGTACAGCGGCATCAAATCTGTAGGAAGGACCGGAAGGGGACGACGAGCCAGAGAAAAGAGAGGAGAGCAGAGGAAGCACGAATAGGAGGATAAGAGGGAGTAGTGACTGGAACGTTGCCCAGCCAGACGGTGCGGCTTCGGCCTGAGCGCTGGCTTCGCGCGGTCTTCGTCGCGGTCGTGGCCCTCCAAACTGGTGTACCCGGAAACCTGGGCCTCCTCCCATGTTGAAAACAAACTGAGGACCTCCTAGATAGCATCCGTAAGCATGGACTCTCGGAGAGACAAGAAAAAAGAATGTGAGGCAAGCGTACCGAAAGGGCCGAACCCTCCTCCTCCGAACCCGCCATTGAAGAAGCGATTGAACAGCTCCTCTGGCGATATCTCCTCCTCGAACATAGGACCACCAGCACCCGCTGAGCGCGGGAACCCACCACCACCAAAGCCACTGAAAGGAGACGCCCCCGAGGGCCCAGCACCAGGTGTGAACCTGCTGTCCGGATCTCCACCGAACTTGTCATACTTGGATTTCTTGTCCGGGTCCGATAGTACTTGGAAAGCACGAGAGACCACTGCAGCCATATGCATCAGCTACATCCGAGATCCCAACATCCTAGCACCTGAGGAGGGAGAACTCACTCTTAAATGCCTCATCCGCTCCCTCATACCCGTTCTTATCGGGATGTGTCAATAAACTCAATTTGCGGTATGCCTTCTTGATCTCTCCATCCGACGCTGACTTCTCCAAGGCTAGAATCTCGTAGTACGCCGTGGTCGAGCATTTTCGTATCCGGATCACGGCTGCCTTCTGCTCCGCTGTGTATTTGCGATCCTGGTTCCCCTGGTTGTGTTCGCGTGATCTGGCTGAACCGCCAGTATCCGCGCCGGATGCTGAAGCGGATGGCATGGCAGAGAGCGTGTATGACGGTTTTAGTCGTCCGATCGGTTACCTATTCCTTATCCTCTTATTCAGAACAAAAAAAATCGCTCTGGAGGCGGCGCAAGTTAAAGGCGGCAGAGGGACCGATTTGGTGGCCGTAAGCGATGGCAACGAGAGGATAATGCGCTTTCCAGACGGTAAACAGAACGAATTTGACGTATTAACAGCGAATAGGGATGAATAGCGTCAATTTGGCCCTAGGGTTGTGATGGTTGGCCTCCCTAGCTCTGGAGATAAACGTGGTGTCTTTTCGGGGTTCAGATGTTGACGCTAAGCGGCGGGCTAGGCCTGTCAGATTATCGCTCATCCGGCGGTAGCTTGAGTATTTTATCTATCGAGCGGACGAGCTACCGTCGCACGACCGAGCATTAATCTGAAGACAATACCCGTAGTTCTTAATTGAAGATCTTTTCGCATTTCATTCTATAACCTCGTTCATTATTAAACCTTTATCTGGATATTCCTAGTCGTCCGGAAAAATGGCTGGTGAAGATCCTACTGAAAAGGCGAAGCAGTCTCTCATGCAACGAGCCAGGGCATGGGGAGGTAAGGACCCAGCTTGCAATAAAATACAATCTGTGATGAATTCCAAATCCGATATGGTAACAAGAATCTAATCAATGTGTATGCGTCTAGAAAACCCGTTCCCTCCCACTCTCCTGGCGTCTCTCATCACAGCGCAACACATGCGTCCTTTCCAGTTCTTGCCAATGCTATTTCCCCCAGTCCTTCTATTCACAAGCTATGCGAATATCCAGGGCTTCAAGACAGACAGCGCGGGGATCAGCGCCGCCTGGTCGGGTCTCTATCTTCTGCTTGCAGGTCGGCGATGGCAGCCATTGATGAAGAAATGGGGCGCGCGGGGGATTGTTCGCGGCACGACCATGGGTCTTTGCCTGCTCAACATGGTGGGCGGCGGATTGGCTTATACACTGGGGAAGAGAGAAGATCATGATGAGTGAAAGGACAACTGCTGCGTGACGTTGTATTTCTATTTGATGCTAGGTATATGATGTGGAGTAAGGTGTTTCTGGTTGGATCGTTTGTCTCAGTATATATGCTTCGGGGTGGTCGGTTCATGTATAATACGCGAAGTAGGTGGTAAAAAGTCATTACGCTACGATAGCGCCGTCTGAATCTAGTCCCAAGTATTCATAATGGAGATGCCGTAAGTTCGGCTACTCGGAGTACGGCCGCTGGGAGAGGATGTATTCCCGGACGTTCCTGGGAACCAACCAGTCGAGATCCTGCAGATTGGTCTGAATTGCCTCGCGTGCTTTCGTTGAGCTCACGGGCCTCTCACCCGGCTTCTTCCCTTCTACAAGCTGTATGCGCTGCGCCCACTCACGCTTGCCGCCTTCATTCTCGCGACCGCCTTGAGCCAGGCGGAGCAGAAAAGCCTTCTGCTCCTCCTTGCTGCCCCATTCATCGTCGGGACGCATAGTGACCCGCAGCCTATGTTGCGAGAGGAACGGCCCAAGCGGTTGGAGGGTATGTTCCGGGGGGTAGTACTTAGGGTTGAAGATCCGGATCAGAGTGTCATAGCCCGTGAGATGGACCTGCTCCAAGGGTTTTGGGTATACGCCTGACTGCTCGATCTCCGCCGCCTTATCCACGAAGTACGGTTTCTTTGTCACTCCAATGTCGATCTGTTGGAGGCCCGCTTTTGCCGGAGATGACGAAGTCGTTTCTAAGTGCGACAACAGGTCCTGCGCAAACAAATCCATCATAACCAGGCGGTCTTCGAAGTCGGCGGGCTTGGATGGCTTATCGGCATTCTGCGTAGCGAGGAGTAGCAGCAGTCGCGATGGGACACTGGGTTTTTCGAGAAGGGCTGAGCTTGCGATTCTCAGATGAGCGAGAGTTGGGGGGTTGAACGATGAGTCCAGGACATAGAGTATATCTGGGGCCTGCGAAGGCTGTTTTTGCTCTTGTAGTTGGTTCGACGGAACGGCGCTGAGTATCTCGAGGTTCTTGGAAGAAGCGATGAAACGCTTCAACGCGGCTTGGTATTTTGATCGAAGCGCCTGGTATGAGTTGCTCGCCATGATGGTTGGCTATGATAGTCAAATTGGCTGGCAAGACACTTATGGCCTGCTGATAGCGAGAAGGGCTGTCAAACTAAGGTAGCAACCATCCAAATAATGCCTGATGCAGTCACGTCAGAGGCGGCTGACTGGCGTCCACAGGTGGGGTCATTTTGATAAATCATCCAGGGTTAAGAAGGCGGGCGGCTGCAGTTCCAGAATGCGCAGCCCACGGCACGAGGAGGGCAGATATCGAAGGTAGGAACTTTTGTCTTCTCCATCAGAAGCACTTGAGGAGCCAGTTTAATCGCTCTATCCAGGGTCCAGGATAGATTCTAGATCTTGATGCTGTCATGCTTACCTCTAAGGTCAGTTCACTCGGCAAATAATTGGTCTGTGAGACACGGGCCGTATGTCAAACTCGTAAGTCGTAACAGCTTGATTAACACGGAGACGATCATAATCATGGATTATTGGCCTCATAAATCACAGCTCCAATGAGAGCAAATTCGGACAGCCTGGAAGAGTCTTTGATTCCCACCCTGTCAGGGTCCCGAAGCCAGATGTCTGGAATCTGACCCATGTTCGGCTCATTCTACTCGCTCAAATTTCGAATCTCAATCACGGTAGATACTCCATATTTGCATGGGGAAGATCGTCGGAATCGTGTTTCAAAACTAGAACATCTCAATGCTTGAGGGATCTGAATCATCTGATCAAAATTTTGAAGAGCGCAAAGCTCTTTGGAGGGAGTTATCTAGAACTTATGCAAGTATCGATTTATGTCAAGTGGACCCTGGTTGGGCCAATTATATATTCTAGGTATAGTGACATATTGTTGATACTACAAAGTAGTTAAGTTTACCATATCATTGTCATTAATAATGACCATACTGTACAGGCAGTGTCACATAGTTAAAAAAGGGGTCAGAGTAAGCACAGTCTCACTCTCAACTTTCAAGGCCTCTGTGCTTTGTTGTTCAGTATCACCATCACTGGCCGACGTCAAAGCCACTTCCGACGGTGATACATTCATTATTGGCGTAGGGTGGTTAACATGAGAACCAGACAGGACGAAAGCCACGAAAGTAACAGACTGTAGCAACAGATCCTTTGCACTGCGGAGTGCGCAGATATCTAGATGCCACGAGTCGCCAATTCGATCTGTCTACTCTGAGCAAAGACATAGAATCCCTAGAACCTTGACCTCTGAGAAATCTAGACTTTCATCATTTGAAAAAATGCCGCGACCTCCAGAAAGATTTGCTCGTTGTCTAGACTCTCTATTCTCCACCTCGCATCGACAATCCGCAGACTATCCTAGCCTATCGATCCTCGCTTGCTGGTATGATGACTGTTGATCGGCCACTGTCAAAGCTCGCAATTTACCGTAGATGGTTGCATGTCGCTCAAGGTACTCCATAATAGACGCGGAAATGGCACTATTTGACATTGATGCCGAAGACGCACGCTCATTGTATGTGAACAAATGGATAGTTACTTCCCTAATTCACGACGGGAAAAGGGGGCAAGGGGCATAGAATCCACCGGAACCAAGAGTTGTGCCCCGTCATCAGTATTACCTAGAATGGCAGAGCTACCTCCATGAAAATTGGACGGGAGAACTTGAGTTAATAACCTCGGCGAGAGGCACAGGATGTGTTCATCTCATAGGAGATCAAGATGAATTTGCCACTGCAGGATCCGTTGTTTGTGTCTTTTAAAGCTAAGGTACCTCTCTAAAAGTTATGCATTGCCGGGCCTGGGACTGGAAGCGGTAGATAGTATCATCATTTTTTCGCGTTTTCTAGTTCCTTCGCGACTTCGCCGCTCAGGACAGTGCCACTTAGGGAAGTATCTACCTACTCGTACCCCGAATGGCCAGCGCATGCGAAAGTCTTGAACTTGCTAACTTGGAGATACGCCGTACGGTTAATCATGCAATCCCGAAATTACCGTCATTTGGCGTATATCAGTCTGCCTAAAATTCTTCTACCAACCTTATCCCTCGTAAACCTGTGCCGTGTCCTGAATGTATCTGGATACCGGCAAACCGAACGGCGACAGTGGAAAAAGGAGGGAAAATTAGGGACGTACCAAGGGAAAAATCCCACCACAGCAACGGAGAGGAAAGCGTGTGTGCCACGGACGGGAGGCACGCGGCGAGATTAAGCAAGGGGCACAAGCCAATCACAGATCATCAGGACAGCATGAAACGGGCCTTCATCTCAGGCGACAGCGAATCTGCGTGCGGTTCCTGAGCTTGGACCCACCAGAGTAATTGGATATTACCTCCATCCTTTGTGTCAGATACGGAGAATAATCTATGCCTTAAAGAAAGGGGGTTTTTACCAACAATATCAGAATAATAGTTTCTAGGAGACATTGTTAGCTTTCCCAAGAGGTTGTAATAGAGTGACTTGACTTGGTTGTGACATACTACCTATGGCCTGTCGACGTCTAGGTTCAACATCATTAACATGATACAGACTTTAGCCTTTTTACCGTCGATTTGGTCCTTTTAGCTTCTCCACTTGAGCGCCACCCACTTCGGAGTCTTTTTAACTACTAGGTATGAGGATTATCTAGTTTGGTCTAAGTGCTGGCTGCAGCCTGCAACTCAGGTACCAGGTACCTGCCTGAAGCGGTGTTTGTAGGGCAGGTACTGCATGTACCGTGTATCAGATACGGGATGCTCGTCGCAGAAACAAATAATCACAATAATTAATAATTAAATTTTAATTAGATTAATTTGAATCCCAAGTCTACAGCCAATACTAGTCTGCGATGTACCAATATGCGCTGATGGCCCCTCCCTCCTTTTAATTCCCCTACATCAGCATCAGGCCTCCCTCTTCTCTTCTGGGTTTTCCTTTTCATCCCAGACTGTCTGCTGCCTTCACGTCTGCTTCGTGTCCGAGATCATTCCTTTCTCTACGCACAGCCACTCTTTCTATCGGTTGCGAATAGATTTCGCTTCCCCCACACTCGTTTTCAAGCACAGTCTTGTCACCAGAAAGAACAGAAAACCCAAACATCTAAAGTTCAGCAGGCATTGATTGTCATTGTGCGATATATTATTGAAAAATGCAGTTCACAAGCAAGCTTTCCGTCGCTCTTCTGGCCATCCTGGCTGCCGGTGGTGAGGCCAACCACCAGGCTCTTCATGCTCGCAAGTTCTTCCACCCCAGAGGCTTGAACGAGACCACTCCTGCTTCCACTCCTGCTTCCACTTCTGTTGTCGTCGTCTACCCGACTCCGGTGAAGTCTTCGTCCGCTGCTGGTGGCTCCATCTCTGAGATCACCTCGATCCCAGCCCCTCTCAGCACCGGTACTCCTGGATCTGGTGGCTCCGACGGCGACAATGGTGACCAGGACGTCACTGTCACCTACACTCTGGGCACTGGCAGCACCAAATCAGTCGTCACCACTACTATCCACAAGACTTCGACTGATCTCCACACTGTCTACGCTGTATGTCGCATTGATCATTCCACGACTCGAGTCATCTTGCAACGGATTTATTAACTTTCTGTATCATAGACTTCTGCTGGTGTTACCACACTCTCTTCCACCTCTACCACCACCGCTACTCTGATCGCTGTTTCTACTCCTGGTTCTGGCAGATCTGGCAGCTCTGGCAGCTCTGGCAGCTCTGGAAGCGGAGACAGCTGCAACCCGGCGACTGTCACCGTCACTGCTACCGTCACTGTGGTATGTATTGATTCCGTTCATGTCTCGGGGCCTGTCGGGTGCTAACGCAACGCAATTGTAGACTGCTCCTTCTGCTGCCACTCCTACCTCGTCGCTCAAGGACAGCGGCGCCAACGAGCACTACTCTGCCAATGACAACGATGGCAACGATGAGGACGACGACGATGAGGATGACTGCGAGGATGAGGACGACGACGAATCCACCAGTGTGCCCTCTCCCACTGCTCGCCCACCTTACGGCTACGGCAACGGCACCGTTCCTTTCCCCAGCGGAGCCGCGAAGCCCACTGGTTTCAAGACCAGCAAGCTGCCCTACCCCACCGGCTTCCGCCGCCACTAAGTTAGCCAGCCTCATGCGAGTCGCCGAGTATCCAAATCTGTGACAATGGCCGTTCTGTAACAGAGAGATCGTCGATTCCGAGGCGAAATGCGCACGCTGGCGTTGTACCTCTTGAACGAGGGATTCTCCTTCCCCTTTTTTTGGCTTCTGGTACAAACTTAGAGTTCGGGCACAAACTTCATTTAGACGTCTTTTACTCTTCTTACATTCTCCTCTTATCCGGAGGGGCAGGAATCTTTCTATACCCTTCTGGTGCTTCTTTTACTTTCTCCCACGAAGCGAATCGGGCCAGATCTCGCTGATTTTAACCAACAAAGTTGCTTCTTTTGCAGTTTCCCGGAGACGCTTCCAGCTGAATTTCTGTATTGCCAGCGGTCATTGGTCACACATCTGGTGAGACTCGGATACTCGACATTGTTTAGCGACAGTGCTTTTATGCAAATTGTATGGCCTACTTCTGATCTGCCGGAATGACGTAGAGATCCACGATCTACTGCATTTCGGCGGAGTGATGATTTCAATAGACTATGTAGCGAGCGAATCCATTCCATTTCTATGGTTCCTATTGCGTTTGCCTGCCTGTAACAGGGACAATAGCTCGTTGTAGGATGTAGCATTGGACTTAGTATTATGTTGATTGCTTGTTGGGTTAGTTGTATACAGAGCAGCATGCACGGATATTTCAAGATTTAGAGTAGACTATCGGGTTCATAAACAACACAATCTATTATACAGGGTATCACATATATCAAAGCTTTCCACTCTCCGGTTGCAAGATGGCATCCGCCCCCTCTGTCGCAACCCGCTGCTTCATAGCCTGCCATTCCAACCAAGTCACTCCCTGAACCAGACAATCCGCCAGGTCATCCATCTTGCGTACATCCGGTGGTTCAATCACAGCCCCGTCATCCTCTGCTGCAACTTGCCCTTCGGCCTTAGCCCTCGATACCGACGTCCCAGGATTCGATTTGCCTGCCCACCGCCGCAGATACGCATCGACCAGGGCCCGAAGCTCAGGATCATCCGCGACAGACAAACGAAACGGCGAGCCCGAGCCCGAGCCCGAGCCCGCCTCCACGCCTACCATCGCAGCACGCAGCCACTCCCCCGCCAGATTAATCTTGACCTTCTTCCCTTCCCTAGCCGAGGCCTTCTTCTTCTTCTTCGGTCCATCCACCTCCAACCGACCCTCCCAATACGCCCCCACCCGCCTAGGCTCAACACCCAGCACCACCGGCGCCGCCCCCGCTCCTCCCTGCTGCTGCCGCTCGCACCCCAGCGCATGCAAAACCGCATACAACATCCCCTCAAACACACCCACCCGCAGCGTCCACTCCTGCACCGCGCTGCCCCCACCCGAGCGAAACCGCTGCCGCTCAATAAGCACATGGGTGGGCCGGTACGCGTGCAGCAAGCCCGTGACGAGCGCGTACGCCGTGCGCGCATACTCGGCCGGAGAAAACGTGTGTTTCTCTTTCTTTTGCTGCGTTGATTTTCTTCCCTCTTTGGTCTTTCCCGGAGGGTCAGTCCCTAGCTCGGGGTCAAGTAATACATCGGAAACAGCTAGCCGGCGCCATGCATTCAGCTTCACAACTGCCGGAGCGGTAGCGGTAGCTGTATTGCTATTGCTATCAGGGACAAGGAGATGCGCGTATGCGAGATTCTGAATCCCCATGTCGATGCTCAGGATACTCATAGTACTTGTCTTTGTACTTGTGCTTGTGCCTGTGCTTGTCCTCAATTGGTTCTCGGGTTCTGGCTGCGGCAGTTCCTCCTTCAACCGGGTGATGAGACATGCTTTTGTTCCTGAGGACTGGATCCCTGCTGCTTGGGCGATGCGCTGCAGTTGGGATGCTTTGAGGCTGTTGAGCCAGGTGTATGAACTGAGGAGGGGTAATGATATGCGCATTTCTCTTCTTTCATCAGGTATTGATATACCATTGTTATTGCATTGCCCGAGTGAGTTAGAGTTGCTGTACTCCGCAGACTCGCAGTTAGGCGTTTATGCAGCACAAGTTGGATTCTTGCTTACATAATTCAGGCATGTTATGCATCCCACAGTACTCTATATCATTTGTGTAATGAATCGATATTAATATTATAAGATAAACTCATTCTAATCGAACTAATGGCATATACCAGGTTGGTACTACCTCTATCAAAGTATGCGATAACACCCAGCCCAGAAGAAGGCAAGGCTTTTTGATCGAATGCCCTTCCCATGTGGACGCCATGACCCGACAATGTACCGATGCAAGACGCTGAATTGCAAGCCACAAGAAAGGACAAGAAACGAATGACGAAACAAGACCAGGAACTCCGCTCTGTGCCACCCGAAGAGATGAAGCCAGCAAGATCACAGAGAAACTCCCAGGTGAACGACCGAATTTAAAAAAGACAGGGTATGACCGTATGCACTAATGCTCGTGTGACGCAAATCTGATTTTCAACTAGGTCCCCAAATGTGCGCGCAGTACTGCCGTTACGACTCAGCGGCTGGCAGACTGCTTGCCACGTCAGTCGGTGACAGGCTCTCACGCACGTAGAGGATGGGCGCCCAGACCCTCCAGTGCAGGACGCCAATGTGTGCTAGTCGCATCGATATCCGCTCAATGTCGTAGTGCTGCGGCAGTGGCGAATGCGAGTAACTTCGTTGGGACTCGCAGATGGCTAGAGGCGACATGTTGAGGTACTTTTTGGCAAAACCAAACGTGGAGACCAGCAATTTCTGTCGCAGCGCGTTCCGAAAGTACTGGAACAGCTCGGACGACTCATTGGACAGATGCCACTCCAACGTCGCTTCGATTGGTGCGATGACAGCATCTGAGACCATGGAATCACCAGTGCATGCTGCGCACGCAAACCGTGCAATCTCCAAAGCGATCCCGCGCACATTCTTCAACCATCGCGGCGACCCCCGGCGGCAGTCTTCGTTCTCCTCCATCAATGACCCAATTCGCGAGCGAAAGCTGGCATATGTTTGAGCCGGCGCGGACAAGTACCGTTTCTGCGTATGGACGTATGATTCAAAAATGAACCAGCAGATATCCAGAGTGATGAGATTCTGCAGACCAGACCGGAGCTGCCATAAGCGGTCCGAGTCAAAGACGAAGGTTTCCGGGAAACCTTCGGGGCCGTGGAATTGTAGGAGGATATCGGTTAATCCGTGGAATAATAACGAGATCGGAAGGAAGCTGTCGTTTTGTGCACTTTTGCCCAAATTGCGTAGCTCCTGCTCCCGTACATCTAGATACCATAGCCGCGAAGCCTCTACGCGAAAATTGTCTCTGGCTATCTTACTCCGGAAGTACTCTTGCAGGAAGGGGACAGTGTCTTCGATTAGGAGAACCCGAAAGGCGCGGATCTGGTGATTTGCCACATCCTAAAGACGAAGAAAGTCAGCACATAGACATTTCTGAGTAAAGCTCAAGCCTACCAATTTCATAGCCTCCAAAATGGCAAAGAGGGTCTGCAGCCCGCGAACAATCTCCATGGAGTCCTGCGATTCCGAGCCAGAACTGATCTGCTCGACCATGCGGTCTGCCCATTCGTCTCGCATCGGGGCGCAATGTGTTTTGAGGAGCCTGGCTAGCCAGTTGGCGATCCCAACCATGTCGAGAACCCCCTTCCGGACCTGTTGCATCAGCAGAGACACGTCTAGGTTTTGCGTGACGGCCGGGTGGTCGCGCTCCGGAACCAGGGTTTTGAGGACGTCTTGTAGGGTTTCGAACATGGCGGGTAATCGGGGCTCAAATGTCTGCGGGAGGTCATCCTGCTGGCCGTCGTCTGTTGCGTCCTCATTCCGGTTTGCGCAAAAAGCATAGATTGCGATTTCGGCAGCCATCGCATCCCAGTAATCCCCCGCTTCTTTCCTTTTCCTTCTCCCCTTCTCCCCGTCTAAATCTGGCTTGAAATGTAGGTCACGATCGAAATTGGCGTCCATTCGAAGGTTAATATTGCTCATGATGCAGGGCAGGTCGAGCTCGCTCAGCGTTCTCTTAGTGACGGGAGGATATCGTTTAGCTTCCTGAAGTAGTTTGTGCTGTTTCGCGCTCAAGTCTAATGCTTTCGGGATCTTCATCGCTTCAGACGAAGGAGACGGAGGTGTCGGCGGCGTCGCCTATCTCGTCGCATCTGAATTAGTTTGGCGAGAACTATAAAGATGGGGAGATCCACTCACCGAGCATGGTTGCTCTGTACTTGCGCTAATTTTGCCGCTGCTTTTGCGTTTGGTTCCATTGCGATGATCTAGAGAATCGTTCTCGAGAGAGTCGATTGAATGACCGCTTCCGTTGTATGCTTCTAGTGGACACCCCGTTCCTTCTTCCTCCTTCCCCGGCGCATTGCGCCTCGCCTCCTTTGTTTTCTGAAGATCCATCTCCATTCGATCAACGGTCCCGAGGCCTTGGGTGTAAAAGTGAACAATCCTCTGGAGAGCGGTATAGATCTGTCTGGGCGTTCCGGATTTAATTGTATGATTCACGACCACTGAGCAGTCTAATCCCTCCGATGTAAGCAAGACACCATAGCCCTGGACACGTTGCTAGGTCGATCTGCTATCCCTTCCATCAGCCCTTTGGTCAGTCCTTGCCTGTGGGCAGTTGGGGTCAAGGCGGAGGAAGGGGTGAGGGAGATAAACATACTTGCCAGGTGCTTGTCAACGGATGTAGATCGCAGGCGGTGATCGCAAGAATGGGGGCACGGGGTTCAGATTAGATCCCTGGATTGATGTTTTGATCGTATATTTTCCTAGATTAGATCTTGCGCAAGTAATCTTCTCCCCGGGGCGTTGCTAGGTAGGGTCGACCTCAGAACAGGCTCTGCTATATAGCCAAGCACGAGTGAGAGGTTGAGGTAATGACCATACAGACAGGGAAGAGTGTAGGTATGAAAATACTAAGAAAGGATACGTAGAGAATAAGCAACGACGGTTGAAAAATTAAAGGGCCTGAGATAAGGGCAAACAAAGTGGAAGCAAGCGATCTACTGCAGCGCAGCGCAGTGACGAAGCGGTCCAAAACTCCAAAGGGAACAAAAAGTAGAGGTAAAGATCAGATCTGGCAAAGCGGCCAGGAGGAAGTATCTTGATATAGCCAATGGCAAGAGAAGCGGATGTTTTCAGCAAGACAGTGCAGGCATTCACGTATTCTGAAAATGGTCACGCATGCACTTGAAGACTGGGGATGGAGAACTGAGGGAGACCCTCCGAGCGCACGATCACAGCACCACAGCGGAGCCAGAGAGCAGAGAAGAAACGTGAAGCATGGAGTCTGGGGCAGAAGGAATGGTAAGCTACAAGATTGAATCGGGAACAGTAGCAGCAGTCCTGTAAACGCAAAGGGTAAGGCAGGAAAGTGAGGCTGCTCAAGAGTCGACAGTTAAGACGCATTCAGCTACTGCATGGACTGGGACGGAAAAGCCAACAGTGGAGAGAAGAGGGAAAAAGGTTTAGAATTCATGATTAGGTTAATTCGGACTGGAGAGAAGAACAACCATAATGAGGTGAAGCTGGTATCAAAGTGACTGGTTGAACAACCCCTGAACAAAGCCCGGATGGGCGTTGTGAGGACAATAGCTGTCGCTACACATAGAGTGGATGACTATCTACAGTAGATACAGACAGAGTACCTCTCTTACAGGGGATCGATTGTGGCTGTCTAGACTCAAGACAGAGGAGTTATGGAGGGATTATCCACTAGTTCCTTAGTCCCCTTCCTTGAACGGCGCCAGATTCGGTGATTGTGTTGTGGCCGTTGTGGGTCAGGAGAAAAAGAGGATACATATGTGGAGAGGTAGACTACTATTATTATTATTGAATTTACTTACTCGGTATCCATCTGTATCTTCTTCAAGATTTCTTGAGGAATGACCAAGTAGGGAATTGATAAGATGGTATCGGGTGGTGCATGATCCCGCATTCATTTTTGGCGACATCCAACATTCCAGATGATGGCGAAGTACCATCGTTTCTTTCTTGTACCTAGTTAAAGTCTAGATACCTAGAGGGATGATCCCAGACCAGACAGACCTCTGCAAGACCACAGTAAGCACAAAAGTTCGGGCCAGAAGACGAATGCTGTTACCCGATAAATGGTGGACATGCACAGCGAAACGAAGGTGACAGGTCAAGAAAAAGCCACGGAGATGGAAAGCATTAGACAAGAGGAAAAGCAAAGAAAATATTGATAGGAAGAAGGTATCTATGGAGTACCTCCGTACTTGAAAGAGTACTTCTCTGCCAGTTGCCACTGATCTTCGTCGTTCAAGAACCACTGACGACCAATTGTGGTCGCAAAGCGACAAACCACCAGCAAGCGCAATTGCAAGTGTAATGGCAAGGAAACAGTAGATAGTAGATAGTAGATGGATGGATGATAGGTAACTACAATGAAAGAATCCTACTGCAGATGGTAGCCTGAACGAGATGTGCAGACCTATGCGGCTTGCCGTCTGCTCACAACTAGAGTGTGATTCACGCTGTGGGATAGTCGAGATACGTCCCATTACGGAGTACAGTCGGAGTACAAATACTCTCACCCCGCTGACCGGATGGGATGATGCTTTTGCTTTTCCCCGTTTGGGTAGGCAATAGGAGGCAAGGAGATTCAAAGTAGGGGGAAATCGATGAGGGAAGCTTTGGCGATTGACCTCCTAAACGAGCGCGATCGCAAACATTCCACATCGCCCAATGCATCATCTCGTTAAAGGTGACTGTTTTCATCGCCGGATCCAGGTTTATCGGGGTACTACAAACGTAGAATAGTCAACTCTCATCTCTATCTGCTTATCCTCAAGTAACTCCACCCAATGTTACTTAAGTATTAATAGCCCACGAGCAAAATGTCTGAGTCCATCATCTTGCTGATGTCAGTCAAATGGGTCTCTCCTGAGTCCTGGCGCTCCGTTCAC